CTTGGAACTTACCTGAGTGTGATGAAATGAGTGAAGGTTAGTCTCATGCCTGTTGTCATCTGCGTTATGTTTGTTTTCACTGAATACTAATACCCTCCATTATTTCATCCAAGGATTTTAACTCCCCAGTCACTACAGTACATCAGCAGTCAAAAACATCCCGAGATTTCACAGTAAATCACCCACAGTTGTACATTATCACTTCACAGCCGACCAACAGGCAGCTTTCATTCACTCGCACACTATTGGCCTAAGACACTCTACTCAGATAAGGAAGCTCCACCTAAATACATACAATATGTGTACAGCAGGTTTGCCAAATACCTCCATAATAACGCCATCTATTGGCCGAGTCCAAAAGCTATTCGTGACGTCATAGACGTTGATGGACGTCATGAGTGATATTTTTTTTACGTTTTCCATTTTAGACATATCAATCTTCATTTATTTATGCAAGTATGTATACACATAAAAAGAGAATGAAAACACTACTGTATAATTTTCATTGACTCCATTGCCTCAAGATATTTGATGAGTGCAGAAATGAAGATACTTTAAAAATCTTTTCTCTTGCACAATTACTGCAAGTGATGAATCACCTGTCATGCTGTTACATAAATTTAGGAATAAATTACCTTGTTTTCAGTAGAGTTCTTGGCTATTAAAAGGCATTCTTATTGTTTATCTTGCTTGAAATAAACAAAACCAAAAATTCAAGTTGTGTCTTGGTTACTCATGTATTATATTATTTCATCTAACTTGCTACAAGATACATTACCATAAAAATTAATATTAATTATTAATAATTAATATTATTATTACTTAATAATCATGCAATTCCTCACAGCTTTTCGCGTATATCCTGGGAATGTCAATGTCATTTTACCATCTACGACACCTGTCAAATTCGTATCAAGTGAGTCGGAGTGACTGATGAAGCTGCTGCCTCTGATTTGAAATGTATTTCAATATATAATTGCACATTTTCACTGTAACTCACAAGAGGTTAAATACTTAAGTTACTTATCTCTGTCCTTTGGGAACCGATGAAAATGAAAGTGTGGATGTGTAACCTGTCTCTAAAAAAGTAAAAATGTATCCATAATCTAAAAAGTATCCACTTTTTTCTTTAATAAAATGACGAATTTCTTAGTATCCATAACAACAAAGTTAAACTGAAATATAATGGTGTCATCAATAATTTTACTGATTATAAAATGGCTATTCTTGGCTGTAGTCCAATATTTTGAAAACATGTAGACGACAACGTGACATTACAGAAGTAAAACTGTAGCACCATCTTAATTCTGGACTCCACTAAATACTATAATAAGAAAGACAGGAGAGCGTCTACCTTTACCCATTAAAAAAACGTGAGCCACAGAACGTCAATCAACGCCATCTTTTGATCCCGCGACCAACTATACAGGGTATGCTATGTGGCTCACGCAACTTTCTCCTCGCTTTCCTGTCTTTCTTATTATATTCTTTGGGCTACATAAAGTGACGTCACTGTGCCTTGAGGTCGGTATTATTACACTCATTCCTGTCTTGAATATACTGTATAGTCATTGATATTCGCTCTCCAGGGAGCTATTACCTTATCATTATACTCGAACCAATGAAAGAGTGTTAGGATGATGGTGTTTACAAATAACTTTCGTGTTACCGAGGTGTTTGTAGCGCGAAAGGACAAAATATGACGATATTGTATTCCAAAAGATCTCTCGTGCCGTATTTACTGATCATATTCGAGTAATGATTTATTCTCAATTGAGTATCGTGTGGTAGGGTTTAGTAAAGGGGGCGCCACATTACTTTACATTGTCCGAGGAGTGTTTGACTTGCATTACACGAGGAGCCGCGAATGGAGGGGGGGCATCATACTGCTCGCCCCCTCCCCTGAAAGTCCTGCTTCAACCTCCCTTCAGTTCCTTTCTTCCCACTGGTTTCTCTTGTCTAATGCCTCACTTATTTCATCCTCTATCCCTTTCATCTTTAACTGGACTCTGAAATAAGAGAGACGACCCAAAAACATTCTACGAGTTCAGTTTTTTCTTTACTTCACTCAGAAGGATCCAGGCTCGTTAAAATCAAAGAAATATGCAATAAAACTAGACTTGGTGCCACTGCCACAGATCATCTTATTGGGCCAATAGTATTGTCTGGGCATAACACAGTCAGACAGAAAGTCATCCTCGCTGTGATTGGACCAATTTTTGTCGCCATCCCCAGAGCGCTAATTGATTGAGTTTTTACCCCGGAAAGCAAGGGCCAGTGACCTCCTCACGTGGAATTTTATTTTCTGCCCAATGCTTGTCCACGTTCTTATCAAGCACTGACCTTGTTCAACAGTGGAAAATGGTTTTGGGAAAATAAATTAAACCTATCATTACCACAATACACTTAATACCGGTTGCTAACAAAGTCCCTTGATGTTTTGTGCTTACGCTTGGGAAATTTATACTGTACTTTTTCAGTCTGTACACGTATTATCACTATTTACTATGTCTGCTATTACAAGACCTTGTAAGTCGATGCATAAGAGCTCTTTGAGTCTATGTTACTTTTGTATACTGTATAATTAAACCACTTAACACAGTTTGAGATTTTATGTACATGGCTGGACTAAAACAGCAGAACAGACTGGCCCAGGTCATGAACTTACCTTAAGTGGCACCCTGCGTCAGGAGGGTAATCATCTCATCACCACAACAAAGAACAAGAACTGGCTATACTTATTCGTCACTTAACCATGATTCTGTTAGCTGGCAAAGACCTGAGACTACACAGCTCAAATTATGTCAGGTGCTCACATGACAGCTACACGTCTATTATCCTGTTTCATAAGAGTGAGTGAAGACGTGGAGGGCAGACAGCATTTGTGTCTGTCTCTCGCTAACTGTCTGCCTCGATTTCTTTGCCATTGTGACCGAATCTGTCTACTCTTTCGGTTAACGAGTAAAGACGTGTCTGATTGTTTCTCTCTATCAGTGTGGTCCTGCACCGTCTCAGGGAGGGGCTTAGATAAAAATTGTGGGTTTTAACCAAACTTGGTACTGTATAGTACACATACCACAAAATCTTGCACAAAATTAAGTCGAGGCTTTGCCTACCTTAATGACCACCCAGTTAACTGGTCTCTTTGCCATTTTTTCTTTTTTGTTTAATAAACTTGAAATAAAATATTAAGATCATGAACCTCTTACTCCAGGCCTCCCCACGTTACCTCACAGCCACGGGTTTATCAGGATTTCTCTTCATATAAGAAAACAAAATTCTGTTCTACATCACTTTATACAATTTCATCTCCACTCATCACCAACAACATTGAGGACAGTCATCACCTTACGAGTTCATTGTTACTTTGCCGTGTAAGTACTTTCTGCATATCTTGTAAAGAGCTATTTCTCTGTCATATCAGCAATCTACGATTTTTCCATTTAATGTCATCCATAAGTTCTCCATTATCTTAATAATTTTTTTAAGGCGAAAAAGTGAAAGTGGCTCCCATAGGCATGGCAGCCTACAAGAGGCAGTGTAAATACAGTACAGTACGCTACAGTACAGCACACTGTATACCAAGACTTTAAACCACCAGGAAGCAACATGACTTGCACTACACTTGACTACTCTCACTGTAAAGATAGGTATTCATCTACAGGTGGGTCAACTGGGAGTACCTAAGGAACAACCCAGCGACTCTTAAGACAAAGATGTTTTTTCAAGCAAATAAACTTTGTTAAAAATCATCAACTCAGAACACAACACAGTATACCCTCCTTATGTCAGATTGTGTCCCAAATGGGGTTAGATAACTGTGAACCCATTAAGTAGTTGAAATACTGTATAAGGGTCAGGGTCTAGGAATCACCAAGTCTTTCATAAACGAATTTTTTACTCCTTATATACCACAATAAAACCCTTAGTGTACACTAAAATGAAAAATAAAACTCAAATACTTCTACAAATCTATTAACAGCTTTCAATGACATCAGTGGGTAAATTTCAACAGTATGGCTGCCCACACTCAACACTCCTCACTGTTTCTTTTCCTATTCCACAGTTTGTTCTGTACAGCAGTGTAGAAATGAACATGTAAAAATAAAGTAAAATATTAATTCATGTACAAATTAATTACTAGTAACATTAACTTCTCCTGGGGCCAGGGTGTAAAACATAATTCAATGTCATTTTCCTCTTTTAATGTCAGCAGCCTCCTTAACTTCCCCACTCTCAGAGGAGGTGGATGAATGGCAGAGGAAATGGGAGTGAAGTCTTCAATTGGGTCAGACCAGATAAGAAGTGGGAATTGTAGGGTTAACTCCAGCACCGAGATTCTGGCCATGTCATGGTAGTCACTCAACCCAAGTGTGATAATCTGAGTTCATTTTACCTCTCCAGGAGTGAGGTAGAAATTGTGGGATTGCAGCAAGTTTTGTACATAAGTCTGTCCTAAGTGTGTATGTATGTGTGAATATAGTGTATATCAAAAAGTTTAATGTGTATAGGAGTAAGTGTGTGCAAGAGTATGGGTGTACTGTATGTGTCTACACAATATATTTTCATACTGTAGTGTAATGGATATACTGTAGTGAAGATTAAACAATAACTGGGACACTGCAATTGTGTACGCAAGACTTTGCTTCGACATACCTGATGGCAACAGCCTCACCAGACCTGTGTCCATTTCCTGGTCACTGCTGCTTTTACTGGGGTGGCACCCTGGGTTTGTGGTGATGAGCAGAGGCACCATCCTATTCTTGATTTATCCAACAGCTACCAACAGGTAATCATGGCTAACCCACACAAACATGGGGAATAGCTGTAAATGTTGATGATAGTTTTACAAGATTGGAAAAGGTCTCATTTTTCCACATTATTAACCTTGCATGGGATTAAATTTCTACTTTTCCCATGGACTGTAAATATTATACACCTATGGAATAAATAATAATGCTAAACAGAGTAGAATATTTGCTGTCATTAAACTAGTGACACCGATTCATTTAGTAATTTATTTCAATATCTTGTCTTGTACATACAACTTTATGCAGGTAATTATATACAAATTGGTATTTTCAACAATGCCTATAGTACTATTTTATCACATCATGTTAATTTGTACCTAGAGCAAACACAATGACAATGATTCGCAAAAAATATATTCAATGACAAACGTAAAGAATATAAATACTGTATCATATAACTTACACACTTAAGTTAATATTCATGTCAGTGACTTAAATGACAAGAAATTCACAAATAACTACAAAAGTGTTTACAGAATATGCTAAAACCACATCACAAAACATCCAAACAAATGTTCAATATAAAATTATCATATTTCTCATTAGTCCATTATGAGTTAGGTGGTACACAGGGGATTTCCATCACAACACTGGTTACTAACGCTCACACACCACCTCTAAGCTTCACAAACCCAACTACAGTACAGTACAGTCCATCCTCAGAGAATTTGGTGCTGATTTTGTTAAGCAGATGAGGACTGACACAAATGTGTAGGTGTGTCAATTACCATTTGCTTCCTGTGGACATTAACCCTTAATTGGCAGCAAAGGATTCACCATCCCCCCTCCCATCATATGAATAAAAAAAAAAGAATTCAAGGAACATGAAATATTCACTGATGGTGGCTGCCGTCCCTACAGCTAACGCTAACCTCCACTGATGATGACCGCTGTCCTTACAGCTAGCTTCCACTGATGATGGCTGCCATCCCTACAGCTAACTTCCACTGATGATGGCTGGCATCCCTACAGCTAACTTCCACTGATGATGGCTGCCATCCCTACAGCTAACTTCCACTGATGATGGCTGCCATCCCTACAGCTAACTTCCACTGATGATGGCTGCTGTTTAAGGAATAAACTGTGTAAATAATAAGAGCTACTACACTGTACACATACAAATTGTGAGGTGTGAAAAAGGAAATAGGAGGACTTGGTATTGAAGGTTAAGAACATAAAAGCAAACCTCAGAGAGAATGTGTAGGGTTTGATCACCAATTTATTACACTGTGGCTAAAAAGAGGAAATTACCAATGGAAGACAAAACAAGGCATCCATGGTGCTACAGTACTTCCACCAGGCTGTAAGTCATCCAAGTACTGTTCTTACAACTTAACATAACAACACCCTGAATAATTCTGCATCATGGAGCTTTACGACTTCAGTTAATAATTCCACAGAGTTGACTCGTTTCCTCTGTAGCTTAACGAGAATACTGCTGCATATGCCTAGACTAGTGAGATCGTGACAGTAGTGCCCTGGTTCGCCCTGCAATCTACATGATATACAAGACTTCACAATGGAGAGCTTAAGCAAAGTTATAAAGTATTTGTGATGATGTATAAGTCTGATGCGAGTAAAACCATCATCGTGGCAGCACCGTTAGCTTGACTTCAAATGGATACTTACATCAAATTCAAATCCTGTAGTTACTGTGTCACATTGTTGTACTGGAGTCAACTTTGGCAACATTTCCCCATTTAAAACAGCACAAGATAGCTAATTCATAGAGATATTATTAATGAGGATGTTTCTAATCAAGTGCATTATAAGTCTGTTTACTATCATTATGGAACATCTTTAAAGCACCGGTGTATTTATCATAATGACAAACCACCACGGAAAGAACATTAAAACAAGTCCACCATAACACAATGTAAAACTCATCGTTCACTAACATTAAGGGGAAGTATACCTATGTATCTCTTACTGCCTTATATACAGTACTTTAAAAATAGTTTCTCTTAAATTAAATACAATCTGGTCTAGAGTATAGTAAATATTAGAGGCAAACTGTCCAAGGCTATACCTGATTACTAAGATTTGTTCCTATCTTTTTTTTAGGTGGTATACAAGTGAAAGTGTGTATTTGTACTCTACTGGGTGAGCAAGGACGACACAAGGGTAATTCTTGGCTGTGAGGTTTCAGAGTCTGAGACTGTCAGTGGTGCTTCCTCTACCTGTGAGGGAAAATTAAGAGTCAACATACTGCACGAAGAAATAAGAAAAAAACATTACAGTACAGTCTTGTAATAATCTTATAGATATCAGTAACGTATATAAAAAAGAGTTCAGTCCAATGCATGTCCAGACTTCTCTCAAAGGTAAGCAACATTTGGAGACAAGACCAACTGTTTTGGTTAGCTGTTTATATCCAGCTGTTATGTCTAAGCTTGGTCTGTGCACATGTCCTAAGTAGTTTTAGGGTATGACTACTGGTTATGCAGCATACTTGAGCAGCCGATATTAACAAAGTGTTTCCAAATTGAAACAGCACTGCAGATTTACTTGACAGTGGCAGAGGCAAACACAGAAGTTGAATATTAATTTTCAAGCCTCAAGTGTGTAAAACAAAAGTTATGCTCCACTGTTGCCCATCACCAATTAAGCTTCTATTATGGCAACTGAATCTGTTATAACTCAACTACTGAACTTTGAAGGTGGTTAAAATTTAGGTGAAATACATTGGGTGGCTGATCTTCAGGTGATCCAAATCTAGGTAGAGTACAGTATCTGTATTAACAAACATATTTAACAATAACTATACCTGTTGTAACTCTTGAGGCTGAAAGGCTGCAGATGTCTCCTCCTCTGTTCTGGTGCCATTACTCAGAACCACCATGTAGTCATCTAAAATCAGGAAGGTAGATACTATGAGCTGACTTGTGCATATATAAATAAACAATTCATCTATTTCTACTGTAAAAACAACACCGGATTCATCTTTCTACCTCAGGCTCCTAGGTTGAGAGGGTTAATCCATATCCACATCCTAATTTAATGTGGTGGACCAAATTCATAACTAATATATAAATTTTATTTGTCAAGTTAAAAGGTGAAAACAATCTGTTTACTTACTCTCAAGTTGGAGATGTATTGGTGCTAGTTGAGAGAGTGGCACAGAGGTAATGCTGCCGTCTTCACTGATGGTGACAGCGTGACTCAGGCTGGTGCCGTCCACTTCTTCAACACACTCCAGTCCTCCATTTGTCTCCTCTACACGACTCAGGTCTCCGTCACCTCTGTCGTCATCCCCCACGGTAATCTCCATGCCGTTACTTGGACTGTCCCTACGACCGTGGACTAGCCATTCTGCCACTGATACTCCTGGGGTAAGTAAAATAAAGGAGAAGTACAACAGAGAGAGATATATATATGTTCAAGTCATTTAACCTAACTCATGAAGAACATTCCTCTAATAATGGTGGATTGACCCCGGAAATCACATAATCTATTAAGATAAAAAAAAAAGTGAATTAAGAGTATTGTAGTTAGCTCACCTCCTTGTTGACCTTTACAGTGTCTGGCATGATTTCTCAGCACTGTAACTGAAGACATCAAGGCGCCACATCCTTCACACGACACAGCTGAACCTTCACTGGTATTGTTATCACCTGGAGTAAACAAAACAGTCTTAATATGAGGCAATAATCAAGCATCAATAAATATCCAATTCTTATTCTCTGATATAAACCAAAAGTTACTAATATGCTGAGAATTAATTATATAAACCTTCTGTTTGTAATAAATGCCCCCAAGACTCATTTAAAACCACTAGTGACAGAGTAAGGTCGAGTACAGTACAGTCGTCTTCATGCGTCACTTACTGAGTGAGTTGGACGGCTCGGCGATGGTGATGAGCTCTGTCTCCTCACTGTCCGTGGTATGCATGACAAATATATGATGCTTTATCTCCCCTTCTTCCTCCACCTCCTCGACGCCTTCGTTTTCTTCTCTGACGTGACCCTCTCCACCATTCTCTCTCTCTTCTATATGAGTGTTGATGTCTCCTTCATTTCCCACATTCAGTTGAGTGATAAGGATACTCTGCTTCCCAACTTCATCTGAAAATATAACAGTGATGAATGTTTCCATATGGTTGACTTTGATCTTGACATCCCAGTTTTTGATCAGAGGTGAAAATAAAGTGAATACTGAAGAACAGATTGTTAGTGTGAGTGCATTACGGTACTAAACTGCCTTAAATACCACGGGTAACACAAATATACTTTTCTAAAATATCACAGTTACTATTAATTGTACAGTATCTTATTGTTGTTTTTACCTCAGTTATATACAAACTATGAAATACAACTGTATCATTACTGGAGCATAAATAGTGACACCAAAAATTACAACACATCCATCGTTAAGTTCAGTTTTTTCTTACCATGTTGTTGGTCAGCGTTGGTGAGGCGAAGTATGTTAGCCGAGGCAGGAGTGTTCCCCTTCCCTCTACCGTGCAGACCCTTTACATGACGTGAACAAGCAGCTAGTTCATGGAAGCCTGGTGAGAATAACAACCATGTATTGTATAGACTTAGCCATCTGCTGAAAGACTAAATACAGTAATCCTAACCAGCTTGAAAGTCTAATTTGCTACCCATTAAACTGAACACATTAGCATTAGGGCATTAATTCATCAGGTGTAATGGTGTAATAAGCAGGGGAATAATCTTCAGGTGATCCAAAAAATCCCTTTTATAATTATGTGAGAAGGGATACATTACTTTATGCGTGTAGAGCCAACACTACCGCCACTTACTCTTTCCGCAGATCTTGCACACATAAGGCTTGAAGTTATAGTGACGATTCTTATGCTCCTGAAGAGTCTGGGGTCGAGCGAATGACGCTCCGCACACATCACAGCGGAATGGGCGTTCACCTGTATGTGTTCTCAGATGTCTTTCCATATCTCCTGTGGGCAAGAAGGGCATCATCAGAGTAGCTTAACTGGGAATCTCGAATAGAAGCTTCTCTCTCCCTATTAACACTTAAATGGTGCCTAAGGATTCCCTACTCTGTCCAAATATGCAAAAAAAAAAAGGAACACAGGAACACGAAACACCCAATGATGTTGTCCACTGTCCGCATGTGTACTGTGCTCTATCTATAATTTATGGTCACCCTGTACTGTATATTTAAGCACTGTACTGTACCTTTTGTAGTAAATCTCCTCTCACACTCTGGACAGGCAAAGGGACGAACTCCCTCATGACGGAGGTGATGGGTGATAAGCTGGGATCGCTGTCTAAAGGACCGTCCACATATGTCACACAGGTGAGAAAACTGGTCAGTGTGGATCAACATGTGTGCCTGAAGAATACCTGACTGTGAAAACCTCTTGGGACACTGTGTGCACCTGAGGAGAAGACAGACGTTTAGTGTTTATTGTTAGAAATTCACAAGCCAAGCAAGGAAAAAATATCTTAACTTTATACAATTATCTATAATATAAAAACAATAACAATATCAATGACTAAGATCAAAAGTATTGATCTTTAAATATTCTGAATGTATTAAATTATTTCAAAGCTCATTAATTAATATTAATTACCCAAATTTTAAAATTCTGAACCCAGATCCATAACCAGCATTTAAAAAGAGTTCACTTGTATGAATTGTGAACAAAATAAAAATTTTGACCTCATTTGCCAAAACGATGGTGTAATAGTTGTCATCATTAACACGATAAAACACCTTTTCTCTGGAACTGAAAACTAACGCATTTAAAGCCTAAATGATAGTCTATATTACCAAGAAAATTAATATACGGGCAATTTCAAATTTACAGGCACAAGACATTTGACGTTTTAATAAGTACTAAAGTGTTTTATATTTCCAGTAACACATGACTGTAACATTTACCAGAATTATACTTTGACCATTCAACACGAGACCCAAATGAGAGGAAACAGACTCACGCGTATGGTTTCTCTCCAGTATGTGTGCGCATATGTATCTTCAGGGACTTCTTCTCAGTGTATCTCTTGCCACATATAGCACACTGCCAAGGCTTCTCCCCGTCGTGGCTGGCAATGTGACGGGCAAGATTACCTCGGGTAGTAAATCTTGAGGAACATTTGGTGCATTCGTATGGCCTCTCTCCAGTGTGTGTTCTCTTATGAGCTGGGGAAAGGGGGAATCAATAAGCCTCGAAAAATTACTTGGTTTTTATACAGTCTGAAATAGGTTCCTTATAGTTTTAAAAAATTATACATATTTTTTCCATTTGAATCAGTTACTATTATCTAGCAAGACAAGACTCAGGAGCACGTGATCAGAGGATAACTATGACCAGTACTAATTACTGTAAGCTATGAACAGTACTGAAAATCATGTAATGTGTCATAAATTACTGGCTGAGATTCTATTGAGACTAAATTCCTTCCATAGTGACAATAATGAGCACACACACACTCACACACAAAAGGCCACAACAATAGCTCAGTTGGTCATTGGTCAGCTTCTGTATAAGACGAATAGAAAAATTTACAATACTATGAAGTGACAAAACAATTTCACATCTCAGCACTAGGGAATTTTCTGCCACAAAAATAAATGTACTGTATTACAGTATTGCTCATTTCACCCTCAGCACATGAGAGGACACTACAAAATAGAGTAAGGCGGATAAATTTTCCTTACCATTAAGAGCGTGACGATTTGACAGTCTTTGGTGGCAAACTGGACACTCTAAACTCTTGGTATGTGAAGACCTATGTTCTGTGGAAAAGGTTAAAACACGTCATTAATTTCCCCATACACAATTACATATTACAAGGGAAATACTACCCTCTTACACAACACCATGCAGAACAGAGATAAAAAAAACATACACCAAATACTCCCCACAACACTTACTGTACAAGGCTAAAGCTGTTCGACACTGTTTGGGGCATTTTTCGCACTGGTACGCCGTCTCCGTCTTGCCCGTTATCTCATTTTTATAAACCTTTTTGAATTTGTTCATGTTGGGCACCAGGACTGGGTCGGCAGAAATCATCAAGTGAACCGACTGTACCTGTGAAGATGGAAACAGGATGAGGAGAAGGACTAATGAACAAACACAGACTAGTTCTTTAATCTCTCTTAAGAACTGTCATACCAGATGTGTTTGACTATTTCATTCCCATCCCAAAACAAGACCCACCCACCCACCCACCTCCCTCCTCATGTTATCCACTCAAATACAGTACCTCATTCGGGTTATTCTTCTTTATCTTCTCTTGTCTCTCATTTTCCTGGGTGTTTATTATTTCTTGCTTCACCACGGTCTTCACGTTTGTTTCATCATAATATCCCCTTCTCTCGTCGTCGTCTTTATTTTCTTCCTTAATTCTCTTGGGGACATCAAGTAGCTCCGACTGTGGCTGAGAAATGCTCCTCTTCCATTCTATGACAAAAAATATATACCGTATATTCGTAATAATCAGTTATATGCAAGGTGATCTCCCTGGCAAATTGTCAAATACTGTATTAATATTACCTCAACCTAATAACAATTCCCAAAAATATTTACAAAAGGAATCCGTGTCACTCTTAGTAAAAAATGTCCGCTGTACACTTCGCCTTGTGATTCGATATTTACCTCTGTTCACGCTCTTGGATAACTTGGCATCGGCAGGATCGGTATCTGGGCCTAATGACAGACTGATATTATGGGTGTTAACGTTCTTACCTGGAATAACAATGTAAGAATATCATTATGAATACACAAATACAGTACAGTTAGACATAGTATATTTACTCCTAATATACATGTTAGCCCCTTACACATAAATACATTAAAGTTTAAGCTACAAAACTTCCACAATCGATGGATATTTTTGACTATTTGTTTCCGGGTAACTGGAGAAGACTTCCACACAGTAAGGAAAACCCGTGAATCCTCAAGTTTTATCAGTTTAAAAATTTCAATTATGTTTCCATTTTTTTCTAGACTATCATCTTTAGTCAACTCTTTGTTTTCCTTCTTACTCTTACCAGCAGTTATGTGGTGAAATGTTGTACTCTCAGCTGTTGTGGGAGAGTCATCACATAGAAACTGTCTCACTGCATTCTGATACAAAAATAATAAGAGTTTAATATGGCTTAGTCACAAAAGTATCTCTATAACCTAACAAAAGTGCTGTCTATAATCTCTATAACCTAACAAAAGTGGTGTCTATAATCTCTATAACCTAACAAAAGTACTGTTTATAATCTCTATAACCTAACTCCAGGTATCATAAGTTAACCAAAATATTCTATATATCAGAACAATAACCAGTTGATGTTATATTTAAGTTATAATCTGTATACAAATATCATACACACAACATAAAGTCTATAATTAGGATTCTCACCTTGTCAATTAGCACAGGTGAAGATTTACTCCACAGTGTCTGGATTTGTTTGAGAGCGGCGAACCAAAACTCAGCAGCGACTTTCTGATCTCCAGGAGGAATATGACTTGCTAGATTTACAATTTCATTCAGCTGAAATTAATGGCACATGTAAGATTAAAGTAAGTTATATAGAATCACCTGAAGATTAGACACCCCCAGCTTATTTCACCTGAAGATTAATCACTATAATGCTAACCTGACATAAATACTGTGTACCTTACCCTAATCACCAAAGGGCATTAAGGTGTATCTGGTGAAATAAGTTGGTGGTGTTTAATCTTCTTGTGGTTAGGTTAGGTTAAGCTGTTACTTCGCTACCAGTTCATATGGAAGCACTCGGTTGCTTAGCGTTAGGATTACTCGCTGGTAAGCTTATTAAAAGTTTAATCGTAAACAAAATTTTTTATTTTTTCTCTAGATAAAATTCCTCGTTTGTTAACATGTTACAGTATTGTCAAGTGTAACAGGCTAGAGTGGCAGTGTTTAGCTATATTACCTCTATCATTATTTATTTAGCTGCTTAAAGTATATGATGAACCAAAGAGAACTTGTTTAATGATTTTAGAGAATATTTACTGAATAACCTATCATAGCCCAATAACATAAGGCATCCACAGTACTGCTTGATGAACCAGCCAACCATAATACTGGGTTAAGGAGCACACATGGTGAGAAACATTAACCCCAAGTGGTGGGTGAGACATGTTAAGGAGCACACATGGTGAGAAACATTAACCCCAAGTGGTGGGTGAGACATACACCAGCCATGTTAATACATCCTCTCCTTAACAGACACACACAACAGGTGTATAAGTCATCTTTATTGAAGTCAGGTATGTTGCGGCCGCGTGTGAATTAAGACTATACAACATGGTCACTGTAGAGGCAGGAGCCGTCCCTACAGTGTTTGTTGTTTCCCAGAAAAATGTTGAGCATCACTCTGGCCATGGAGGCGTCACTCTCGCCGGGCCACAAGGCAAAAGTAGTGATACACATTTGGCCTATAACTACTTATATACGCCGTATTTTACCTTAAGTTTCCACAGGCGTAGGCCCTCTGATGTCCCTTCCATGATTTCGTCAGCAGTAAACAACTCCGATGTGCACTACGCACAGTAAACACTTATTAATACCCATTGTGAAGGCGGCCACTTTCGATCAACTTCGCCATGATGGCGACGTCTTCCTTGTGGGTCAAATTATTTTATAAAATGAAATCTTTATGAAAATAAAGATACTTCTATGTTATTGATTTAATAAAATTATTGCAATTCTACGTAATTTTATACTATATATTATCTGAAATAAAGAAAACCACACACTGAAACCAAACTATATTTAATCTTGCAGTCTTACATGACGTCACTACACAGCACTTCCCTTGCTTTACTGTTAACTCCTTCACCACTAGAATTAATAGTGCCCCTTGAGATGCTTATATACCTCAGTTTGGTCGCCCCTTGCCCGTCTGTAGTATAAGCTAGGTAAGTTCAGGTGCTCCAATCTCTCAGGGTAGTTGAGGTGCCGAAGTGCACTCACATAAGCCATTTTACAATCACTGGGGACCTTTGTTCATCCAGACATTTACAGAACAGGATCTTCAGGGGCTCGGCAAGCTCGTTGCACAACTCTCTTTTTACTTTTACTTTTATCCTCTTCACCACTGATCGGTTCGTTAGCCGCTTGGGCGATCGGTCAAGTCTCTGGGATGCACCATGTCAGGGCCGGGACTCTTGTGGACCCTTAGCTTTGACAGTTTTTCTGATACCCTTTTCTGTGAACATAATGTAGGTCAGTGCTGTGTCGAACCGTCTGTCCTTAAACGCAGGAAGGTTAATCGCATCCTCTCTTGTGAACATAGAGGAAAAGAAGCTGTTCAATGTCAACGCTTTATCCTGGTCAGAATCTGCAGCGTGACAAGAAAGAACCTGACTAACTACTTTGTCTTAACAATCATACCCAGCCAATCTGCTCTTCAACCCCATGTAGCTACTTTGTCTTTCCAATCCTACCATCTCCACCAGTCGTCCTGTCCCTCGCAATGTAGTTTCAATATTAGACAATTTGGTAGAGTTATCCAGTAAATCTTGAGTCACTGTCACAGAAAACGAAAACATTTGTATTTTTTTTTACGGGCATTAGCCCACCCGGACACAGGTCACTGACCCACACCGGGGCCCGGGGGGCGAAGATGTAATAATAATAATGATAATAATAATGATAATGATAATAATAATAATAATAATAATAATAATAATAAAAATAATAATAATAATAATAATAAATAATAGTCATAATAATTCATAATAAATAAAATTTATGATAAAACAAACAAAAATAAAATAATAAAATAATGATGATAATAATACAGTAACTGTTATAATAATAATAATTTTAAAAATAAAGAACTATAAATACAAAAATGAAAAAAAGATCAAAGGTGAGAAATGATATACTGTATGTTGTGTTGTCAATGGTAAGAGACACAATTGAGACCCTGCAATTGTGTGTAAATGAAGCAGAAAGTCAGATCAGCAACCTGGGACTTGGTCACATAAGGCAGCAGGGTCTACCATTAGACAACACATTATGCTTCCAATATCTTCCCAGTTCCTCTCTGTTTAATAGCTGCCTACTACCTATATAAAAAAACCCGTATATACTTCACTTTTAAAGGGATAACACGTGAAAATACTCTCCCATAGGGTCGCCTCTGAAAGATCGTGTGTACTATAGAATAATAAAGGTAAAATTTAAGAAGTTAAACAGAGGAACATATTCAGTAAATTTTAAGTATATATAGAAATAAGTATAAATAAAACTAAGATAAAGATGTAATATCAAATAATTCGATTTAAAATATAAAGAAAATTGCCCCAAATGATAGAATTAAATGAAATAATATATTTCCTTAAGAGATGGACTTACAATCTGAATAAACCTTAAATATTAGAGTACTATGTATCTTGCCAGGTTAAGCTCGAGATAGACCAACTGTAAAGAGAAGAATCACATGACCTAACTTGACCCCAAAACAACATTAACTTAGGTAGAATCTGAATAGGATTTAAGCTTGCATATTTACAACGAAATAAAGATACTAAAACCATTGTGAGAATAAACTACTAATATTTATAAAAGATCATTCACATACCTTCATAATGCTCTTCAAAAATTAAGTTTCCCCCCTTAGGAAATTCTTGAGTTGGCTGAAAAGAAAGATTCAAAAGTATGGCAATGGATTAGTGGGTAAGGGTGGGGACGGTCTGTCTGTCTATCATATATAATATTCTCTGTCTGTCATATCATTTATGTAGTTTTACTTTTATCCTCTTCACCACTGATTGGCTCGTTAGCCGCTTGGGTGATCGGTCACATCTCTGCTATGCACTGTTGGCAAGTACTGGGCATGCACTGGTTCCTGAATGTATCTGAACCTGCTCCAGTGCTTGTCTATATTTGTTTCTTTCCATGTCTGTCTACCTATATCTGTGTGTGTGTTTGTCTGTCTGTTGATCTGCTTACATCTGTCTATCTGCCTATAGCTGTCCGTCCGCATATATTGGTCTGTCTGTTTATCTGTCTCGCTCCAAGGCAGTTTATGTGCCGATTGGCTGAAATTTCTTACGGGGCCGTATAGCAATCGACTTCGGGAATATGCGACCAGTACAGACACGAGAAGGATATTATCCAGTGAGTGTGACCCTTGCTATCAAACATCTCGGGTTTCCTCCAAGTACTCCGGTTTCTTACTGAGCTAACACTGGACATACCTACTGCTCGAACGGCTTGCAAGCTGATCAATCAATCAATCAAGAGTACTGTAACTTCCTAATATCTCAGGGTTGGCGACCACAATCCTTTATTCTAAACATACTCGGGCTGTTTTTACCAATCCTTCAGTCTTGTATTTGTCTGGGGACTCAGTTTTTAATTGCCTAAATCCATCCGTCTTTGCCTTCCCCTAATTATATTCGTTATTATTCCACCACCCCTCGTTATATGACCAAAGTATCTCATTTTCCTTTTTCTGTACATTTCAAGTACAGTATTTTTCTTGAAGTTTTTGCTAATTTTAGTACTTCATTTGTTTTCCTGTCAGTGTAGGTTATTCTTATCATTCGCCTATAACACCACATTTCAAAAGCCTCCTACCTCTTTTTGCTGTCTGCTGAAAGTGTCCACGCTTCTGACCCATACATCAGTCCTTATCATATAAAGCCTTTCAGCAGCATTTTCCTCAAGTTGAAGTAAATGTCCATGTTCATTAGGTCTTTTAAAGGTTAATATTGATGACATATGGAGAGAGAGGCTGCAGGAGGCTATACAACATGGAGACACCAGGTGATCATGGCTAACCCTGCAAGGGTGAAAAATGGATGTAGAATATTGATGAAAAATATAACTACTGTATGTTAATTAGATAGATGTGTGGCAGCAAGTTGCTCCCATACAGAAATATTATTTTGTGCCATACAGAGTACAGTGCATCATATTTGCATACAATATATTATAGCATCTAGAATATTATCTGTTCATACAGTCTAGTAATGAGCATAATTTTCCATTTGTAACTGCCAAAACACCATTTTGTTTCAATTAAAACTTTATGTCAGCCAATCAGTGCCACTGTCCACCAGACAACACCTGTTGTCTACAGGTATGACAACCAAGGAACCACTTTATATACTGTACTTCCTCCAGGCCATAATAAAAGTAGAACTAACAGGGCAGCTGCCTGGAGCCCCAAAGTTGTTAAAAATACAGTAAAGCTACAGTACCGTACAGGTGTTTGTGTAATCAAAATGAAGTCCAATACAGTATTCTAGGATTCAGTTTCATATATTCCAAAGTGTTTTATTACAGTATCATGTTAAGTGGTATATGTGAGGGTAAAGAATGGAAACAAAATCAACTTTTAAACAATGCATATTGATAAAATGTTTATTTGAGACATTATAATCCTGTACAGACTTGTTCACGCACTCTGTATGAAAACCCTTAGCAAGAGTACTGGTTAGAAGTAGGTAGGAATGGAAAAAGACTGTCTTATATATTCGGTTAACATACACTGCCTGTAAACTCGGTATCATCTGCCTTAAAAATTGACTAGTCTTGAACACTACCAGATATAGGGTAAGTCACTAGTTTCAGAGATTTCCATAAGGGATTTTCCCCCTTGTTTCAAATATTTTTCATTTTTTTTTAAGTATTGGCTTTCTAGGAAATTGGTTCTTATTGGAAGTCCCAGAAACTGGTGCTTTACAATAAGTCCCGGATGAAGGCAGAAAATGTTTAGGTTACAACCACACCGCTGTAGTTCACTAGCACTACATCTCACTTTGTTTCATTTATTGTAGGAAAACGAATGATTTGTATAAAAGTCTCTTCAAAAACATCTACTGGGTAACGTGCTATACATAATCGAGTGAGCGGGTACAACAAAGTTATCTGGTATTACACACACTCCACGACGTCACACACTCCATGACGTCATCACCGAATTCCCAAAGAGGAGGTTCGGAAGTTCATGAAAAAGCAATGAGAAAGAATTTTCGGAAATGCAAGTTTGGACGTTTTCCTTAGCAGCAATAACCAATCAGAACACAGTACATGTGTAGTTCTCAGTTGTGATTGGCTAGCAGCTGCTTGGTAAAGTTCTCTCTTACGTTTTCGAGTTATAACTTGCTTTTTCCTGTAAGTACGAACACTATGCAAGTCTTGTTGAAGCAATATGGCCATAATTTCATTTCCTGAAAAACCACAGAACAATCATTGATTTTTTTTTTAAAAGACAGATTCTCTTACCTGATAAGAACTGATGTGCATGCCCCTAACAAATCATGAGTAATTTTTGTTTAAAAACCTTCCACTTTTATATTATCACCTACAGTCAACAACAAGTGAACAGCTTACTGGAAATATCTCATCATAATTTAGGAATGGTTGAATGGTACTTACAAGAGGTAATAGCCAGAAACATCAAAAAGTCTCAATTTGGCATTAGGTTAGGTTACATTCTGCAACTTTATACAGTATACTGACAGACAAGTCATTCATGCCATTAATTGTTTTGTATCTGAATAAAACATTGACACCCCACACGGCAGTTTCAGTGTACAACTGTCAGCCCAAACACAGCAGAATGGCTGTGCTGTAGCTACATTGTCTTGTTTCCAAAATGCAATCTCATGCTACATTATGCTGCCTGAGACACATTACATCATTTGGATTAACTGATTGAGAAGTCACTAATAAGAATGATCCAAAATTCTCTTGGCAACAGGCTGTAATGCTAAAGTGCATTATGTGAACAAGGCTTCAGAGAACTAGTCATAGATCCATGGTATGTCTTTCATGACCTATGCCACAATTCTGACGGGATGATGAAAATTGAGCTTCAATCAGTGATCCCAGATGGCTCAATTTTCCTACTTAAAAAGGGGTGAGAGGTAAAAAATGAACCTTGTGGCATTATCACAATAAGCTCAAAATCCCAAATCTCGTCATATTTCAATGACAGGCAAAGAGAAAAAAACTGAAGAGAATGAAGGCACACACGATGATACAAAGAACACACAACAGCTCTTTGTATTCTTCTAGAGACAAGGCCTGCACTTGGGGGGGGGGGGGGGCTCTGGTTTTAAGGGATTTAATTAGGGAATATTTTAAGTGTGGGGGCGATTCAACCTGTCTCAGACTAAATGAGACAAATTATGAGTAAAACCCCATTAAATCTCACCCACCACTATTCAGGATATTTTTAATACCAATAACTATGGGGATTAAACTGATAAACTGATTAAATGGTATCAAAGTCATTTGAAACTGATCATGCACTAGAGTTAAGTGGCTATAAATTTCCTCTCAAATGAGAATTCTTGATGACCCCTTATGGTTATAAAACACTTTTAGTTCACTTTGGTTGATGTAAAAGTTGTGAGGTGAAAAGTCTGACTGATGAACTCACTACTACTATTATTTAAGGAGTATCCAAGAATTCCCTCTCAAGATACTATTCACATGTACAGTACATCATTTTCATCAACTGGAAAATGGTATTGGGCTGCAGGCCAACAACATGCGGCTGCGGGCTGGACAGTGTTTGGACCGCATGGGTACTGCGGTGAGGATGTAGTGGTGGTTCTGCGGTTACGGTATTGATAGGCCATTACCCGCATGTTACATGTCTACTGAGGGCAAGTTCAGAAAGAGAGTTCCTGATGAAATGGAGAGTTCACTAAAAATCACAGAATCACAGTCAGTTATAATCCTGTGATCAATTCTACTTTCCATTTAATCAAACTAAGTTTTCTAAACACACCCTAAAACAATAAACTTTAAAAGAATGCCATCAATTATTTGATGGCAGTACAGTAGTACATCAGATTTCATAAATATTTAAAGTTCAGATCAATCATAGGTTATTATAGTTCATATATATATATATATATATATATATATATATATATATATATATATATATATATATATATATATATATATATATATATATATATATATATATATATATATATATATATATATATATATATTGTAACTGAGTTTTCTTTTAACAGACTCTTATGTGAAGTTTCTATACAATAAGTAGATAATGAAACATTAAGCATTTATGAAAGTGGTAGAGTTTTAGGGGGAGTATATACGGTAGTTCTCTGTGCATTTCAGCTGAAGAATATACAATATGGAACACTTTACATTGGCATTTTGGGCAATATCAGACTCAATGATGAGATGAGGTGAAGGCGAAAACTTCTCGACATTAAATAGTCCGTAAGGGACAGCCAAATGAGTGTGAGAATCGGTTTGTTTAAGTCACAAGGACAAATAATACTTTACACATCTGGTAGAATATCAGAGTCTCTGGCATGAATTCACAATAGAATAATCCAGTGCATTTTGGAATAAGTTTTTCTTTTATTTTAATTTTTTAATTTTTTATGAAGAATTCATGTATGCTAATGTTAAGAACCACTGTCCTGAACTTTAATTGCTTGGACTATGTCACTAGCCTCTATAGTCTTGAAACCCTCAGTCATACACAGTACAGTATATTTTGTTGCCCTTGATTCCATACACAAATTAGCGACTACTGAAAGACTGGGTATTCTACCTTATGTGACATTTGGCTGCATAATCAATATCATAAACAATGGGATCAAGATTGTTAAGAAAAAAAAGGTAGGAAAGAAAGAATAAAATACATTGAGGATGTCAACCAAACGACTGGGTGATGGCACGCACTAGGAAAAAAGTAAAATTTGACGGGCACGTGCCACAAGTTAACGTGTTGGACCTCATTTTTTTTTTAAACAAATTGTGAGTGACTTGTTATATAAACACTGGCAATATTTTCATTAGCAAACATTTTAACTCTTGGGTCTTGGTAGCAGGATGGAACACTATATATTATACAAAAAAGCACTTATGGATTTACAGTATAAGGATAATTGGGACCAACAAGGGCATCTTCCACTTCTTAATGATTACTTCTCTGGCTCCCGTTTTTGTGTCTTCCGTAGAAACTGTTTAAATATATTTTCCGTCTCTCGAGTTTAATTTACTTCAACTTAACCAATATTTTCTCATCTAAGTTACTACTGGTAGTACTTGTTGCTGCTAAACCAAATTGACAAGGTTATAGTAAATTTTACATACAATTTTGAAGGCTAAGTTGTAGATGAATGAAGAAATTGACTGGTCATACACCAGTAAGTTCAAAATACCCCAAAGTCTCTGTAATCTCAAGGTTACATAGCAACCTCATGATTACATAGCAGCCCCTAACATTTCCCTTCAAGGTTATGAACCTCCATGGGTGCCCAAGATATCTCAATACTGTTCCTAGGGTGCTATACTTGGCCCTCTCCCGCACTGAGGGCCAATTCACATAAGGCAGGACTTTTCATACAAAAGGTCAAAATGGTAAGATCATAAGGATCTATGCTAACTGATAACAACCTCCTAACCAAGCTCATCACTCCATTATAAACATAAATGTCCTGCAATGCATGCTAGTAATTCACCTTAGACCATCAGCATTTTCCAAAAGAAAGGAAGGCATATATGGGCAACAGGTATCCCATAACGAAAAAAAAGAATTTGCACAATTCCTTACAAAAGTTATCTTTTAGTACGGTGTTGGGACTTGGGACAAGGTCTGCTGCCTTCTTGAAACTTTGTACAGCCAATTTTTTTTTCCTGTTCAGTCAATCAGGTAAAAGTGCCAATTTATTTCCCCAATTTAACCTATTATTTCAATGGGAGTCGTGTCCAATTAAATTTACAGAATAAGACAAAATTATTTGGATGTATTGTTGATGATTTGGTGTAAGATGGGGCAGGAGAGCTGGGAGAGGGGGTCACCTCAGCCATGCTACCCCCCCTCCACACTGTTGGACACGCCTTCGTTGTGGACTTAAGATACAAAAGGTGATGCTGTCCACTGAAGTTTAAAACTAATGAGTATAACTAATACCCATACTACAGAAACATGCTTGAAACAATCAACAGACTAACTCTGCACTTACTACCAATGATGGACTCAAATCTTACAATATTCTCACAATCACGCTAGAAGACAGTGTGAATTATAGTATGAGTAAATGTCAGTAATTATAAATGCACACTACATGTATTGACTGATTCAAGTTCACTTTCAGAGTATGGCCATAAACCTGCACGGCTAGGAATATAAAAGGACAGCAGCAAGAGATGCCAACATAGGCATAGTCCATCCTCCCATGCATAAAGCTGCTCACCAGCACAAAAATCTCCAACTTTGGCAGGCAAATTGTTTTACTTATCGCATGAGAAAAGACCCAAAGATCCTCAGTCTCCATAGCGAACTGTAAATACTACAGACTAGTCGTCAAAAACCAGAAGAAAAGGTAACAAAGTCGTACTCAGACTACATCTAACAAACAATGATTAAGGACTGCATTCAGGAGACACACTCAAGCTAGCTAATATAGTAACAATGGAATGCTAACAACTGCTGCACTTGGAATATGATCTAGTGTTGCTATGTTCACACTCCCATTTAATATGTGGAAACCTTTTTTCTAATTGTAACTACATGTATTAATTAAATATGAGTTTAATGATGATGTGGAAACAATAAAATGATGTGAAATGCGTTGGTTGGTAGTATAACATCATGAGAGTATTGACTGATTTAAGTGCATTTCCTGAATACAGGCCTAAACTGACAGATAAATGGGAATGACATATCTCATTCTGCTCCTTTTTGATATTCATACAACTCTCATACAGGAGAGCTACAATAGTGGTGACATTAAAATATCACAGATTTGATAGAACATTTGTTGTATGTTTTAAATAAAGCACTTGTAGGGGATATGGTACAAAACAAACATGAAGAAAAGCCACAAATACACTCGTGGCCATGCTTGACTCCCCTGCCTAGGTCCAGTGCTCTACTCTATTCCCAGGCACTGCTAGTCAGGGCGGTGCCGCCCCCATCACCGCCTTGGGGGGATGGGGGCCCACATCGCCCTGTGGGATCCACTAGCACCAATCATCCTCATCACTGTCACTATGGCGCACCCCCGGGGCCGCCCTTCTAGGTGCTCCGGCACCTGCTGCACCTACTGGGCCAGGTAGCCGTGGCACTGCACGGTCCCGCCCTGGTTTGTACCCGTTAGGCACTGCTGGTGAGGGCAACTGACGAGTGCCCCGCCCAATGGCTACTGCCTGTTCAAAACTAAGTGGTTCCTCTGGCCGCCGCTCATATGGGTATTGGTCTCTGATTGGTGCCATTGGTGGGCGGCGAAGTGCACCTGGGGGTAAAATTTTCCCAGGTGGGGGCACACGGGGTCGAGCGCTCCCTTCCGTAACAGGTGGAGTCCTTCTCTCTCGGAACACTGGTGGCATTTCTAACTTGGGCACATGTGTGGGCGAGGCATTCAGCTTGGGAAAGTTGATGGGTTGTGATCTAGTGGGTGACTTGCCCCCAGGAAGGGTGTGATGGCCAGCACCTTGATGACCTGGCAGAGGTTGGGTTGGCTGAGGGCCTAGGTGAAGTGTTGAAGGTTTGTTTGGTGTGGGGGGTAATCGTCGGCCACCACCTCGCCTCTGTGGTATCGTAGGATAGCTAGAGCCTGCGCGCCGGTGTGGGGAAGGACTGCGTGACCGTCGGTCTAAGGAAGCTGTGCCATAATATTCTAAGGTGCGGCCACGGCGTCCTGCCGTCCCTGCCAGTCCTGTATGTGGTGAGGGGCTGCGAGAGCGAGCATCGAGCCGCGTAGTCATGTAGTGACGGTCTGGGCTGTTGGAGGCAGAACGAATGTCCCGCATGTCCCACGGTCGTGGAGGGAAGGGCTCGCGGCGCCGGCTAGGACTGCGGCCACGTAATGGAGAAATCATGCCATAGTCATCACCATGTAGTTTACCTGTAATATTAAAATCAGTCACTTGTTGTACAGTAACAGGAGGGAAAGTGTCTAGAATCAGCATATGAGCTTTCATCACTTCAATCTTTGTCACATACAATTAATGAATTGTATCTTATCATGCCAGACTACAGGTATAGAGAAAAAATAAATATCAAAATAAATCACTGAAGTATTTATTCCAATACACTGTACCTTACTCTTGTCTGAATAAAGTAATGAGGCGATCAAAATGGATTCTATTTCTTTCATTATAAAAAGCTTCTAAAGGTACTTCTAAAAAACAACTGATAAATCTGAACACAGTACTGTACTCGCTGATATGCTGACTCTTGTTTAATAACAGTAGTTCAAGAAAAGGACAACTGGGTGTTAAAGGTAAACTAGTACACTATAGGGAGGAACTAACATTAATTATACAAAACTGGTTAAAACACAAAGTATATCAACATCTGACATAGAATGTTTACTATACTGTACTGTAGTCAGTCACCTAACATGACACAGCTAAACTCAGTATTGTTGTAATTCTCAATATATAATCCCTTGCTTGATGTTTAACTCTTAATACAGTAATGTGTTTCATTAAACCTTAAGATATATCTACTACTGTATAAGTTAGTTAATCTGCATATTGGCTCCTTTAATCCTATCATCTTTACTAATGGTTTGACCTAAGAGCACTAGCGACTGTTAAACATGCACACAAAGTTACCGTAATGTATTTGGGGAAACAAAAATGAGATCGTTTATTAAAAGTTCCTCTACAAAAAGTGGCAGCAGCATCGTCAAAATTACAACAATTTACAACACTTACGAATCTTGGTAACTGAATAAATAAATAACATTCTTTAACACTTTAACCAGTAGTTACTCCCTGTCCCCCTTTTACTTAACTTCATCACTCTACTTGTGTTCATATTCATCATTCTCTCCTCGTACAGTCTCTTCCAAACTCAATCACTAACATTGGTACCTTTACTTATGAATCCCCCAGCTAGGAGTCATTACCTGTATACACGGTATAGAAGCTGTCTCACACTCTCCTGTGTTTCTCTGTACCAAACTTTCTCTCTCTGTTGTATGTCTAGTTGTCTACTCTAACTAGGAACTCGTATCCCTGACTTACTCTAACACTTCATTGTTCTATCTATAAATAATCGGAGTAGCATTTAACACTTTCCCACTCTATCACGTGCTTTTTGTCGAGCTATAAAAGCCACAAATAAATTCTTTCCTTCTCTAAATTCTGATTACTAATTCTTCCTTATACACTGTACTGTTCTGTATTTTCCCTGGTATATTCAATGGTCTTAATCCTCTATAATTCTCTTAGTTATATTTTCTCTAATCTACACAACTTATACTGTACACTCTTTTACATGCAATCAACATTTCCGCAGCGATTCCCTCCCCTCTCGGAGCCTTACATCTTACCTCCTCGCCACTCACGATATATTTCTCTTTAATCTATGTCCCGAGCAACAGAACGACAAACTACAACTTACTTCACGAGGGAATTCTGTACTCCTAGGTGTCTCTGCTACTGTACATGCACAATCACCCATCCTAATTAAGTAAGTAAGATGCCAACATGGATGCGTGCTTACCAGAGGAGACTTGGCAGAAGAAATAAGCAATAAAATGTCAACGAAAAGCCTGAAAATTTATGAATATCTCAGTCATTTAAATATTGTACTTATCCCCTAAGTTGCAAAAATGGCAAGTGTTGGGATACTGTACAGGCGCAACTGGGTATGGCATGTTAGGAATAAGGACTTGCGGAGAGGAAAGGAAAATGAACGGCATATAAAATAAAGTGACGGGGTTGAGAATATTGTAAACGACCCTTACATTCACCAGGCAATAACAAGACTACGGTAACCACCTGAATGGCTAATAAGATTTTAAGTGGTACGGTAAATTATAAATAAATAAAGTACATAAATAGGAACACATATGAAAAGGTTGAACAAGACACGAAGAAAATGGATACTAAAAAATAGGGACAATAAGAGGAGGAAATAAATTAGAGAAATATGAATAATGTGAAGGAGAAATTAAGTGAAGAAATGTAAACGATATAACAGAGAAGAAATAAAAGTTGGATGTGAACAAGAGGAGAGAAAAGAAACATCATTGGAAAGTGGAAGTACACTGTGCTACTGTCTGTACTGTAACTAACTTTTCTAAATACAGTATACTGTATCTTTCATTATTTAAAAGGTCATTGATTAACACTAATTAAATGTTCATGGTTGGATTGTTTTTCATAAACTGAACCCCAGAAGCAATGCTTGAACATAATGGTACTGTGGTGTCTACAATGTCTGTCACCAGTCATTAGTCCTTGTATTTAAAGTTATCAGTCGTGCACTTGGGTTATACATATTTAACCTTTACCTATGTACTGTACTGTACTTCCACATTCCGACACAAGGATGTTACTTGTCAATAATCAAAGTCACTTAAATAAATAAATATCTCAGATCCAAAACAAAGACATTTATAGTGTAGACATAGAAAGAGTACAATACTTACATTAACATGCAGAAAATACTCAAGAGAGAGTTAGACTAATTACATGAACATTATGTGCCATCTGGCTCAGACCTCCTACCGTGCTCGTCACACACACATTTATGATGTGTTTCTGCACATAACCATAAACGCACCTGAGCTGATGATAATAGAGATACAGTTACAAACATACTAAAGGATATATTTCATACTACTGAAGACATCTTACATCCCCTTGGACGTCTATGTATCATTAATGTCAGATGTTAATTATTGAGGGAAAATACATCATGCTGGAAACAACTGCAAAAATCAAAACATCAAAGATACAGTTCAAAAATTAAGAAAACACAACACTGACCTTTGTTCTCTGACTAAAGGTGAAACAAATACATCGACACACTGAGGTTTGAGTGGGTGAAGAGGGAGTTAAACTTATAGAAAAAGTCTTTCAACTTTATCTATAGTGTAGTTATATTTCCACTGTATAAACAAACACTGAATACAGTACTAAGACTCCCTTTTAACCCGTACACTGATTCAAAAATTAGAAAATGCTGAATGAATTGTAAATTTTGAGATTGTGTTAAGCCATTGTTCATATCTCCAAAAAATGAGTTTATGAAGTCTACTTTATAAGTAGGGAGGCAGCAGTTCACTTATCAAACCAGCATAACAATGGTAATGGTAACATTCTCAGTTGTTTAAATCAACACAGGTGAAACACATTAATTATTCAGCCTATTACTTAATAAACTCTTCAAATATTTCAAAATTTTCTCTCCAGTCCAGATGAGTGTTACATTATGCTACAAGTTCATTTCATATGTACAAAAGCCATAAATTTTTGCTCCATCTTTAGGTAATGAGGACCTGTTCTGTAGTACTTATGTGACTGTTGCCTTCATCCAGAACACACACAAGTACAGGGTAATATAAATAAGATGTAAACACGGACTCAGCAAAGTTTTGAAAATATAATTACTTTGGTGAGGGATTATACCATGCAGTTCTTACGACTACTAACAAATGTCTTATAATATTCAGCATTTTCTAAGTCTTGAACAGGGGTAAATTCTTGATCACATTCCTAACACCTGCAAGGGTCTTATGATAATATTATTTGCCATTACAACAAGAACAAAATATTTTTCGGTCTATTTATGGTAAGTAATGTTCTCGTAACTTAAAATGTATAATAAATATAAACATCGCTGGAAAACAAAAAATTGCACGAAGGTCCATAGTGAAGGGCACAACAAGATTTTAGGCAAAATTTGTCTTTCAGCTTTGGTTTAAACTGTCTAGAAATATACAATATAAAGTAATTACAGCTATCATAAATACAATACAATACAATACAGGGTGTATTGAGAAATATATTCTATTTGTATGAACAGGTAAGATTCTCTGAAATATAATGCACCAAAACTATATATTTCCTTAAGAAAGTCTGTTTAGTAGGTATTATATGGATTCTATTTACATTGTTGAAACTAATTCTGCCAAACTGTCTCCTTATGTTACAAGTAAATATTATAAGGACAGCTGTGTAAAGACCTTCTTGTCCAATTACAGAATTCGACAAACACTGTACATGTATCTTGGTACAGTAATGTGAATCTGACAGTAACTTGCATAATTTTGTCTTCTTATAATGACAAAGTAAATTATTCCAACCCTAATGCAGTAATGGAGATAAATAACTTTTCCTTTGCAGTCAATTATTACTCACAGTCTTACACTTCAGAGTTAATCACAAGTACATCTTCAACTTTGTGTAAATTTGAAGCTAAACCAAGTATTGTTCTAAAGCCTCTGGTATATCATCATCATGTCTAAATGTGCAAGTATCTAGTCTATTAATTCTAGTACAGTAACATAATTTCAAAATATATACAGTATTTAGTGAACATAATATTGTGCTGTTTCTTCAATGACTGAGGCAAATTATGGCCATATATTAGTCACAAAACAATGCTGCATTTTCTTAACCAATCAGACATCTAATCTCTCCATACCTACACTGTTTTAACCAATCAGACATCTAATCTCTCCATACCTACTGCATCAGCTGCCATCATATTGCTCAGGTGTCCAGTTTTATCAATGTGAGGACAAGTTAACCACTATACATACTGTACTTCATTTTTTCAGTTTGATTGAACTAGTGAGAGATATGCAAATAATTGATGGTAGATTTGTTGAGGAATAAAAATATCCAAAATGGCTTTGATCAGTTATTGGTGATGAAGATTCTAAAAGGACTGAGAGTAAATGTTTTAAATGATGCAAGAAAAAAAATTCTCCATTAGCCTGACATTGAGGGTGATGACCCAGCAGATTACATACCTCATGATATCAGTGAAGGAGACCTCGCCCTGGCTGGCCCAATTACCTACCTCGTAGCCTACCTCTCTTGTGGATGTTGTCGTATTTGACGAGGTCCACTACATCACTGACGGCGTCGCTGAAGCCAATATCATGTGGCTGCTGGCTGGGTCTTCGTGGTGAGGGACTCCTCCTAATTGGTGTTGGAGATCGCATGCGTCTGAGGTAAGTATGATCAACTTCAAAATAGCATTATAGGGTTCAAATATGGGGAAGTCCTTATCAGAAGACCACTCTGTTTGTTCTTTATAGACAGACAAAAGAGTATGGATGCTTTTCTATACAAACTTGGGAAATCTAATACATATATTTTAATAACCAACAAAACCATCTTTTGATGATAATAACAAAGATTAATCCTAAAATTATCTACAGTTTAGTCTTATTCATAGTCTACATGAGACCATACTTTACTCTCACCCTGTGATGCCTCTGAGTATCACTTGTTATATAACACAGGCAAGTGATACACAGTCTTCAACAGTACCTACACAGTTACAATATATTGTAAGGCTTCCATCAGAAGATGACTTAATTTGTCTTTTCTTCAATTCATTTTTCTATGACTACATTTACAATCCAAAGGTTTGTCACACTTCATAAGAGTTTGTGCTGTTCATCAAATTTTGATATTTCCTACTTCTTATCAGTTATTACTAATTCCTACTTTACTTTCATTATCTTTACCTGCTTCCCTACCTCTGACTTTCTTGTACAGTATACAGTACATTTTCTGAAGCAGGATTTTAATTGATATACCATAAACAGAATAGACAAAGACCTTCTCAGCAAGACAGTACACAATGGTCTCTTTACCATAGCATAAGTCTTAATCTTATTACCATTTGTGTCTTTATTAAAAACAGTTACTTAAACAGTTACTTAAGTCTAAAGCTTATGGAAAGTTGTAAGAACCAATGAAAAACAGCAACTGACCTGTGTGGAGGTGTTGGTGACTGGAAGCCCCTGGATGGTGAGGGTGACCGAGATCTGTACCTATTATTAGCTGGGTATTCGTCTGGTCGCAGGTGACGGCCGCCATCATCAGAAGCTAAGGACCCTCTTCTCGATGCCTGCTGCACCACCTCTGCCAGCTCAATCCCCACCTTCAGAAGGAAGTCAGGTTAATACACACATGGAACAATAACCATCCACACCCTCACATATCACCAACACAGGTTCAACACTAGGTAAGTCCTCTCCAAGCTCATTGTACTCACTTATCCATTAAACTTTGAAATGTGTAAATGGAATCTAAATGACATTTTATATGAATTTTTTTTATAACAAATTTTAACACTAGGACCAGACACTAATAATGCTTCCTTTAAAAACTTCCTATAAACCTGGTGAAGATTGTGAGTGGGTGATAGATCGAATGGGAAAGACTCGTACATTAATCACCATCTTATGTACAAAACACCTTAAGTCAAATGATGTATAATTTAGAAATATATATACACATATATATATATATATATATATATATATATATATATATATATATATATATATATATATATATATATATATATATATATATATATATATATATATATATATATATATATATATATATATATATATATATATATATATATATATATATATATATATATATATATATATATACACACAGTATAAGTATCTATTTAAAAGGGGATAAAGAGTATCAATATAAAATTTAATATAAATTGGAGAAATTTTTAGCATTATTAATGTTATCAACAACTGGAGGATCTGAAAGCTAAATGACACAGACAATTGGAATATAATTATAGAATGTTTCTGACACATTTATAAAAATCACAGCATAAATACATAATAACTGAGCCCTTTCAACTTCCTCAAAGCCGTTAATAGTTCAGTCAAAATAAAATTCTAGTAAAAAATTTTCATATGATTTTGATAGAAAAAATGTTAACTTTGGATTGTATTCAATATTAAAGAAGCTGAGTTCTTATGAAAACTAAACTGCTGATCAGTAAGTAAAAATAATGACAAACTTCACTACTCATTCAGTAAGTTTTCATAATGGTTAGAAATACAGGACATTTCACACCAATACACACAAAAATACATCAAAACGTTGCTTTCATCGAATATTAACGGATGTTTGAGTAAGTTAAAATTATCAAAATATGGCAGCAGTTGAAAGTGTTAAACATACAAGCAAATAAAATATAGCTTCCCCCTCATAAGACATGAAGGGTGTATATTTAAGAATTTCAGTCCCACGTGATCAATCCTGCGGCGTGCGAGTCGTTAACTTCACTTTACATCTGACGTTTAACCTTGGCAGTGTAAGTATCAAATCTCGTCGCAGCATTATCACGTGACAGAGAAAAACACTAATACTGTACTATGCATAAAGAAGATATTATATACATAATTTCCAACATTATCTGGCACTGAGAAAGAAGTCCATGTAAACATATATAAATTTTGGGACATTGACGTAGTAGCTTATTCGTGTACAAGAAATAAAAAAAATCTTACTTTTTTTTATAATCTGGTGTTGGCTGCAGAGGTTATTTAAGGGGACGAGAAACGTAGTCAAGAAAGTGGGAAGACAGAAAGCAGGGACGTTGAACAGGAGAGGAGGAGACAGAGAGGTGGTGAGAAATACACACAATCATTTAATATGGATAATAGCAATAAAATGAATCGTGTGATAAGTGAAGTGGAATAAGACTCAACAAGGTCAAATCACAAAACAAAAAACAAAACAAGAACACAAAGTAACACTGATGAATAATGTATGAATGTATGTTGATGTTTATGACAAGTTACATAATTGATGGAAATGAATTAATGAATGAAGACATGATTTTTTTTTTTTTATGTGAAGAGATGATTGACAGGCCTTGGGTTACAAACATGTCACACACAGTACAGGAACACGTACAGTACATGATAGGAGAGGCCTTGACACTCCCTCACACCAAACATTCAAGCTAGGTCTATATCATCGACAAATTCCAAATCTCTATATTTATCTATTTCGACTACTGTACTTTGACCAGATAATGAAAATTAAATAAAAATCACCCATAAACCACAACAATAAATTTCCCACAAAGCAAAAACTAAAAAAAAAAAAAAAACAAGATGAAAAATTTTGAAGTTGTTTAGCAAATATTAAAAAAAAAAAAAAATACAACAGTTGAAGGGAAACAAAAGACTTATATTCTTAATATCAAGAATCAAAGTTAAGAACAAAATGTAATAAAATAAATACATTATTGCTTTATAGTATAATTAGCAGACATTATAGATAAAATTAACATATACTGTATAAAAAAATATAGTCAAATATATACATCTTAAGAGAGACAATTAGTTCTGGTATATTAAAAACAAAAGAGAATCATAGTAATACAAATAAAAAATAAATAAAAAAAATCATATGACGGTATTTGTGGTGAAAATTCCCGTTATCGTCATAATATAGACCCATTACATAGTCACAAGTACACTTTATAAAGTACGTAATCTCACACTACATTAAGAAGTATAAAAAAAGAGCTAAGCAGGAGACTCCAGTTAATTTATGTTTACAATATATATAGATTTATATATATATCTTTTATGTTTGTCCCTTGAACAATATATTTTAAAGAGTTTAGAAAAACAAACAGATTGCCACATAGAAGAACAATGAACAAGCTGGCTGACAGTGATATTATGACTAGCCCTGTGTGATATGGTAATTCCTTTTAACTCAAGTCCACTGCCGTAAGATAACCTGATGGGGACTACAAAAAATATGTTGTACATCTTTCATCTCAACAGCAGTTTTAGTACTACAAGTCTATTTCTATATATAAAATGTAAAGCCAATATTACAATGTCATACTGTACGTACTATCAAATAATGCTATATCATACAAGGGGAGGGTAGGCTGACATCTAGTAATGCGCTATAATCAATGTTGTTCAAAAACCCATCTTCTATAAATTAGTAGCGTATAGTTGGCTATATCTACATTACGTCCAGTATCAGACATACAGTCCATATCAAAGTCCAGGGTAGACTAATTAGCTATGATTTCCTAACCTAAGTCCTCACGCGTCTAAATATTCTAAGTTCTACTGGTAAAATTTGTCTTTTCTCAAAGATACATATTTTTTGGCAGAGGCAATATACAGGAGTCTGATAAAATCTAGGAAAATATTTTAGACTCACTAAATGTTTCATTCTAGAACTGACAGGAGAAGAATAAAGCACCACAGAAAATCTAGAAGACCATTTGTGACGTCCACAACCGATGGTGAGCTTTTGATCAGTATTTCCACAAGGCTCACTTTGTGTACTCATGTGAGTCTAAATTGGCCTTTGTCATTTAGAACTATCTAAAGCTCACTGGTGATGTCACAAATATATAGAACACTAAAAAATATAGCGAAGGAGAATTTTCAGCTTGAAGAACCACAAGAAGATGAACTAAGTTGAACGAGTACATGTTCAAAAGACAGTCTGAGTAGGAGAGCTGTAACACCAAGCTATGAAGGCAGAATCATGTGTGTCCACTTACCTAACTACTGTACCTCTTTTTCATAATTTTTGTCTAAAAAATTTAATTCTGTTGAATCATAGATCCTGTATATACATATACAGTACAGTAATCATTAAATTTTTTGTACAAGAATAACTGATCATACACAAGGTTATGAAATATTGCTCAGAATCCTAAGGGTTGATGAATAAAATCAATGCCTTAGTATTCAGAAGCAGTAATCTTCATAAGCTTTTCTCATGATGGTGACAGCCATTACTCTAATACTTTATCACACACACCCGAGCATCATTTTCAAGCTCCACAGATACATAGGATTACAAACAGTTTCCTTTCAGTCCTTATCAGAATATCCTTAGATGATTTCATGTTCTGTACAATCACTCTCTTACAAATGTATTCAAGTTCCACTTCCATACATGATTACTTTCTCATCCACCTATGACAAGGGGTCGAGGGTGTCACACTACTACAAAATACTGTAATCGACATTTAAGATTTCTGTAACGAGTCAATTTTACCATCAATTACAGTATGTGTGTGTAATCTAAGACTGAAATATTACATCCAGTTTTGCAAGTTTCAGAAATATTATAAAGTACTGTATGGTAGCATCAGGATAAACTGGTGTAGTGTTGAATATGATGGTTATGTTGCAAGGAAAGTAGTGTTGAATATGATGGTTATGTTGCAAGGAAATTAGAAGTGAATAGATATGTAGACTGTGGATGTGTCTCAGTTGACTGGAAGAGTATCAGTTAGGTATCTGAAATTTATCCTTCAATTATATCTATCTCAATATATTTCTCAGTATCATCCATACTTACATAATGCCATATAAACAAATACATTTTTGCATTGGTATCTTATCCAAGTTCCCATCAGTTACTAACTACAACTTCAAAACCTTTATATCACACATACATCAAAGGTTCTCTTGTGGCTCCGTAACAATACCACAATATTTTGATAAAAGTTCCCAACAATTTTCTTAATGTGAATATTATAAATTGATGGTTCTATTACCCTGTGCAGTATATATAAACTTCAACATTCACATAATGATGCTGAGATTCACAACTCACATTCTTTCAATAATTTAACTACCCTTCCATTTAAATGCTTTCACATTACTATATAATACTGGCTGAACAACACTACTGTAATGACACAGAGACTCTCCTTCTCAAGTAGTCTTGGTGATACACTCTCCTCATCCCAGCAAATAACATGACCATCACTCGATGAGAACCCAAACTCCACCACGCTCGGAAAATAAACTGTACCAAATATGTCTGCTTTATGCATGCATGACTGATCATGGACCCGAAATACTTTTCATGAAACAATTAACATCAACTTTTCTAGAGGCACATACAGTATTGTATAATATAAAGTCTACTTTCTATAGTGAGGGGTGGTAAACAGGTGGATTTCGTTGTTTAGAACTAAATAAGCCGAAAGTTAGACGTCGCATTCTGGATTGAAATTTTTTTTTTTTTTAACTTCTTCTCCCAAGGAGCTGCCTATATCGTGCACCCATTGATGCATTGAGACAGCTCGGTACAGCTGTAAATATGATCACCTATGACATGGACCGTGGTGAGACCATTGTCAAGCAATGACCTGGGGGTCCTGAAAGTGGTAATGAGAAGTCATGTGTTGTGTCAGTTTGGTTTTTCATACTGACAAGACCTTCAGCAACAGGTTAAGAAGTCACTAACAGGTGTCAATGGCTGGAGCAACATTGCAAGATCATGTGAGAGGGGGAAGGGGGCTGTCCTAAGGTTATCGTGACTAAGTAACTGTGGAGAATGATTGTAAAACATTATTGATGATAATGATAATGATCCTATTGTAATTTGGGGAGACACTCGGTGGTAAAATCAACTGAAAGGTCACTTTAACTTAAGGCACCATGGCTGGCCTTAAGTAACACCTATACCATTCATCACTTTATTATATCTAAAGTACTGTACTGTAATTAGAAGCTGAAGTAATTTTATACTGAATGTAAATATCTATGAACCTTCTTAAAAACAATTATATTTGTTTAAAATGTACAAGATGGGTGGCCTCATTAAAGCTTTTAAGGCTCCCTAACCTAACCCTCTATTTCTTATAAGACAAGAACTTTGCTGGAGCACAGTTTTAAGACTAAAGCAAATACACACACACACATATATTTTCCCTTCTTTAACTGTCTTTCACTCATTCTCACTGCTGTAGTGTTCTCTTGTCTACAAAAGGCTCCACATTTAGTTTGCCTGTCACTGCACACAAGCCTACATCATCCACTAACAGCCCATCCTTCTCAAAAATCACTCAAAGGCTGTCCAAGAATGAACCACAGACAAACAAACAAAAATATAAACAAGTACACACACACACACAGATATGAAAACTTTATTATATAACTTTTAATAATTCAAGATTAGATGGCAAAAAATGCACTAAACTTAGGAAAAATGACCATAACTCTAATTTGTAAGAAGTTATTTAGCACAAGTTAATGACAGTGCCTTCCAGTAAAGTTAAGATGATAAGCATAAACTTCATAAATTATACACTACTGTAAACAAGTACAGTAAGTTGTTCTTGTATGAGTTACTCTAACGAATTTGTAATTTTAAAAGTTCATCAGAGTTTTGCGAGCGTGGCAGATAAAATATGGGAAAAACGCGTGATGGGACGAGCCATGCGGCAGTAGACACTGGTGACACCATGCAACGCGAGGACGGCTAGCACCAAACCTGCCAGCTGGCCACACTCGACCCGTCGTGGTCTGAGCCACGCTTGGAGGCACCACCTCCACCCAACAACGTCAGGGACTTTTTCGACCCTTTGTCACTACCAAGTACATTGTCTATGCTGCAAAACGGAGAAGATTGAAGCATGATATGAGTTTTTATGTTAATTGTGGATTATCATGGACTATATCATATACACAGGATGTTAACATTCACATCGTATAAGGACAATCACCACAATCAACATTTGTAAACAACTGGTATAACATCAGTGGAGGAAATATTGTAATGAATTAATCCTGAGATCCCATTTTATAACCAAGACCAGACTGGATGGCTCAAGTTATGCAGCAGACATATTCAGGGGAGTAGAACCCAGATTTCCCCTGAAACAGCAGTTGAAACTTTATGTGCTTCCCAACATACTTGCATCATGTCCTCATATAATTAACACATAAAAGATCTAGCTGCTAGCCATGCACCTTGAAGGATGGACATCATTAACATATATGTCATTTATCATTTCACAACTTATCAGGTTCCTAGCCACTTAGACAGTCAGTCTATTCTTGTTTCAGTACTTTGTTATGGCCTTCGTTGTCCCGTATTAGTAGAGGAGGAAACTGGAGTAAACAGAAAACCTTCTGTGTTTGGTGGGGTTATACTTCATATAACCCTTCTCACATTTGACCCAAGGATTAGAACCCATGACTGCAGAGGTGAGAGTCAAGTACACAGTGACTGCTGTACCTCCACTATAAAAAGGGTTAGAATAAACACAGAAATTCACACACACAAAAATCAGAAAAACGGAAAAACCAGATTACAGATACTGTACTGTATAATATCTTTAAAAAATAAAAAACAAGATGAAGCAAGAAGATAATCATAGGAACAATTCATTAAGGGAAAGACCAGAGGCGGGATACAACTGATTTACCATGAAATATAAGCCATTCAAAATATACCTGAAACCATTAAGTGAAATTTTGCAGACAAGTTGAATCCCCTCACTAAGTACCACGAAGATATCCTTGTTAAGAGAGACTCCCTGACACACATCTTGAGACCCAGCTCTTCCTAATAGATATGACATCATTAATCATTCTAGACCAAGCTTGAAAGAAGAAAACAGGGAAGAAACAATCACTAACATCACTGGCTATTGGATAAAAAGCTAAGAAAACCAGAAACGAACACAAAACTGTTTCTGCTCAAGCAGTTCATCAATCATACCTAAATAAGTCTTTTTCACTGCAAAATAACAACAATAGTGATTCAAAGTCCACTCCAAAAACCAACTCACCAATGAGACCCAAACTGGGCTGTGTCAAAATCAACAGCTCTTATAATATGAAGCTGGAGGACACTGCAAACTTCCCAAATAATTTTTCACAAGTGCTAAAATGGCTGCTGAAACACTTATCTGCATCACTTGGAGCTGGTGTACAGTATATGTCCACACTAAGTGGTGACACAATTATGACTGACAACCAGAATATTACTGTGATCCCATCTTACAACCTGATCAGTGATGGGTGAGGTGTCCGATCAGTCCTAACTACTACTTCAAGGAGAAATATTGGTTCTAATCCTGTAGACTCAGCTGATGCACATGAGAGTCACCTGGTATGATCATAAGATTATAAAATGCAACATATTATGGGACTAAAATTTTTTATAAAAATCAAAGTGTAATCCAATGCATTTTTACACTTATAAGGATAATAAACAAGTGAATGTGGTGACTGTTTCACAATTACACACCAATATAATCCACTCTTTATTATCATGATATATCAGTAATATCTTGAAGACCAATTTGTCCCTCGCTATGATTGCAGGGTCGTGGCCGTGGATGAAGAGTCGTCGACGCCCTACCTTACGTTGGACTGGGAGAGGCTGCCCTGACGGCTCTGGTGTCCCTGGGAGTCCTGCTGCTCATCGATGGAACGGGGGAGGCTGGTCCTTGAGGCGTGGGTGCTCTTGGTCGGTGCGGCGGGTGCTGCTATGCCCATCAGTCGCGCAAACAAACTGGGCTTCTGTGGTGCCACCATCGGGGGTCAGGGGAGGGTGAACAGTCCGGTATATGGAAGCTATAGTTGGTCTACAGCAACAAGCTGACTCATAACTACATCATTTATATCAGTGATTACATTCTCTGTGCAATGGTGAACAATGACATAATTTTACAGGGTTAAATTATATATGTACATTGGCTTTTAAGCACAATTCTTCTCAACAATAGCTTCCATTTTTCGAACTCCTACAAACATCGACTTGAACATCAGGTTTTATAGTATAATTCAGTGTAATTTATAAACACCAATGACAACTAGAGTAAAGAAATCAACCAAATGCGGGATAAAAGAGGAAGAAGGTTGTGAAGGAGTCGTGGCATGACAGTCGTAACTTACTTAACTTTGTAAGGGCAAGTCCCTTATACTTTGTGGCTTAGAATCTTGACCTTACTCTTGTCACTTCAATCTATCTACTGTATCTAAATCATGTGTTGAGCAGTCAATTACAGAGAAGCATGTGGCACTAGATTCTACCACATACTTATCATATGAATGTGGATTGCTGGATTTTTCCCAAAACTGTACATTCACAGTGTAACCGACGTCTGCCTGAATGTGGGTCACTCAGCTACAGAAACTCTGAGTACTACAACCGCCATCCACAAACACCAACATTAGTTTTTTTTATCATATTGTTGTTTGTTATGCAAAAACACTGTTGCACACAATGGGTGAAAAGCTCAACATGAAAAAGGTTAAAAATGTCCCATTAATATTACATAAATTTCTTAGTGCCTTGTTTCAGTTGTATATATTAATGATTTAGCAGATGCATTGTGGATACTGTTTAAATGTTCTATATCATCAGTCACTATCAAGGAGCTACCGTAGTCACTATGTCAAAGATCACATTACTATTTAGAAACCTGATCCATTGCCCACAGTTATTGCATCTTGACAACAGAATTAAAATTCTCGGTTTACTCATTCTTAATAATGATGAACCGCTCTTCAGTTTTACATTAATTAAATTGAAATTTATTAGAAGAGCATCCCACTTGCATGGGACTGTTTAACATCATCATACTTTAAGTCTGAAAGACCTATAATTACTCTTTGAATGAGTAAAAGAAATACTGTATGCCTATTTAACAACATACTGCACTTCCAAGAAGATCACGCTTATGGTACCTACACATAAAGACTGATACTCATGGAAGCTTCTCCTTGATGATCAGGAGGTGAGTGATAGGATCAAGGCTTCAGTTTTGTGTACGTACACTAACGTGGACGGGTGGCTGACATGCGAGGCTCTAGTGGTAGGCAGTTGATACTTGAATTTGTTCAGATAACTTTATTACCCAGTCATTAGACAAATTTCTACTCAAGTTTGACAAGTTTTATAATAATAACATATGTAGTTTTATAAAATATGTAATACATAAAAAATAAATGACTTATCATCATTATTGTATTAAAATTCAAATGCCTCAAATTTAAGATAAGGAATTCTGGGCATTAAAGATAATAACGCATACAAGTTCAACCACTCAATCTTGAGTCTCCATAAGTGAGGAACCGCCCAGACATATAATGGAACCCTCGTGGAGAACTCCCAACACAGTTTTGGATGTAAGCAGTTCTGATGACAGCCTTGCAGCAAGTGTACATGTGGAGCTAACAGAGAGTCAAGTCCGGGTCTGTTCAAGAGGTATGGTAAGGTTCTCTGAGTACAACATTGTTATACTTGCCATCAATTTCTAGTGAATCTGAATTACCTCTGCAGGCTTTTTGTATTGGGTAAAATAATGTTAATAATGACACAGTATACAAGTAAGGATGGAGTGTCCGAGCAGCAAACAATGATGAACGTACAGAGAACCCAAAAAGATTTGTGCGATGAATCCAGCAACCTTGTGTCATAAGGACACCGATCTCACTCTTTATCTGGCCAGATATCCATATTAATTTGACCTCACATAGATACCCAATTAGTGAAATATATATATATTTTTTAATAAAAATATCAAAGGTGTGCATCTACACATTAATATTGTGAGTGTCATAAATACTGCAACATTCTCCCAACATTTTACAAAGTCTAAATTATAATGGGACAAGTTAGTATAAAAATTATATGACAGTACTCCAGTATCTACCACTTAATTTTTCCTGTGTGAGCAAAAATACAGTATACAGGAAATCATAGGCCTTAACATTTGCTCTCTAAATAAGGATCAAAGAAGCTGGACACATTTTTTGGAACTGTGACTCGGAACATCTAGTATTTCCTGGAAATGTTTTGACCAGTAAAGTAGCAGCAAACAGTTTATGCAACAAAAAGCAAATTAGTGTACTAAGTAAGTGGTGTGACATGTTAACTTAGCTTCTCAGAATCACAACGTGAAGGTAATGTTCATCATTTTGGACTATGATGGCTTCTGTTAGCCATGACAATATTAACCTTATTATTACGCCCACGCCAATACTTATAACAATATGATATTAATTGATTATTAATAGAACTGTCTGAGGTAATTCTGAGTACAGGATTCGCTCAGATGTTCTTCACTCCTCAAATGTTTAGTTTCTTAAGTTAAATGAAGAATTACCAGTCATCTGCACTGTACAATGAGATGATCAATATTTAACCCTGTCACACCAAATACACACAAAATATGCATAACGCCATACTTTTGACTTTAAGTATAACAAACATGAGCAAAAAGTAAAAGTCGGATGAGAGATTATTGAAAGAAAATGAAGATAATCTCAAAATACTACCGCATCTATCGGGGAGGCTGGGGCTCTTTCCTGCAATAAAACAACGAGACGAGGTGTGTCACTCACTACAACAGGCGCCGGGTATGCACTTATACCAGCTACCAAGCACTCTTTTATACCAGTTACCAGCTACTGTATTATAACAAGTATCAATATGGTATCATTAAGTCAACTTCTATTATGGTTACCCAATATCTCTGCATTACAATGAATGTTTGAATTTTACAATGTGTTAAAATTGCCATGAAAGCATATAAATTCGTGTGTCTAAAATTCAATTCAATGGATAAAAAAGTAAAAGTTTTCATCTACAGGACAATTATACAGTAGAGAAATGCTGATGCAACTCATAAAAGGTCAAGGAACTTGAAAATCTAACCAGGTGTAATTTGTTTACGATATATTGTTGATAGTGTGTTGTTGTCGTCAAGATTTGGGTATGGCCGAGACAAAAGACTTAACGATGACATAAGATACCGGCCTACAACACAGATACGAGGCCAGTACTGGTATTGGTACTAGGTCACACTGGCTCAAACGAAGGGAACACAACTACTGCTACTTGGCTTGGCACTGACAATTATTCCTGAAGTGATCATCTTCCAAAAACAATTTAAGCACTTGGTAGTTTGTTTCTTATATTTCACTCCAGAGCAGAATAAATAAATTTATTTAAAAAATCATAAAGAATATTTTTAGGAGTATATCTGCTTTCAGAAGGAAATATATTAATAAGGCTACAAATGATTAGAAGTGTGTAAGAGTCAGGAACAATAGTCAGCACACTCTAAACTTGTGAGAGAGATCAAGGCACTGTTCAAGTAAGAGAGATAGAGTTCACAAGAGTGTTTAAAGCCCCATAACTTGTATAAAAACTGTCACTCTTACAAGAACAGTTTCTGATCTTTCTCTACGAGACTGGTCTCACTCAAATTAGGAAGGGAGGACTAGCTGGTTCACGGATTCTGTTTTGCTGGTGTAGTCATCTGCGTGAGTCTGTACTCACTCAGTTTCTCTGGGAGCTAAAATCTTCAATTGCCATAATATTCATGTCTTCATAAACTAACATTAAGAAGGTAAGTTTCTGCCCAAATTCTTTAGTTATAATTTTTTACTCTTAATATAATTTAACAAAATATGAAAAACTTCAAACTTCAATAAAAAAAAATTTCAATTAACATTATCTAATAAGATGGCTAATCAACAAAACATGACCTCCAGAACATTTCACTTGGAAGCAAAATATTGCCATAGATGAAAATATGTGGTGAGTTTGTGGCATCATCTAACACTAACAAATATTTCTAGTTCACCACAGGTGATAAAGACATAAAGGGAGACACACACACACACACACACACACACATATATATATATATATAATAGTCCAGTTCACAATCCAACAGACATGACCACCTTTCCAGTAGTCACCAAGATGGTCACCATTGTGCTTGTGCCACTGTGATATGATTATCACTGTTATGGGGAAATAGGATATCATAAACACATGATGGTCACCATCAGACCAGATACCATCAATTCACTGTATCACATTATACTGAAATGGTGACAGGTGTCACAGGAAGGTGATTTGGATGCTGAAGTATTAATTAAAAATACATGATGAAGTACACAGGACTGGGGGTGGGTAATGCAACATGGCCCAAAGCTTATCCATGTTACAAAAATATTAATGGTGTAGCTAAGTAAAATGGGTTCTGAATATAAATTCAGTAAATTTCTATATTAAAGCTTATGTCTACAAAAAATTGGCTGTGTGGAACTTTCCTAAAAACTAGTGGTGGAGATTGTCACTACACACTCGGGCAACCTAGAGCGGCGTCTTCAATACGCATTTGACCTAATTACTTACACTGATGAACAATCAAACACATTAACCCTTTCACAGGTCAACATCTTAAGGAACCACTCTTGGGCAATGTGAACATTAACAATTCTTATTCATAATTATCAAAATAAATCCACAACTCCCTAACAACATTTCATCATTGCAAAACTTTACATTGTTTATCTACTGTACATGAAACTGAGTGACTGAATAATGGCCGTGTTATTTTAAAGTTAACACATGATAACTTTATTACTGAAGATAGGACCAGAAATTAGTTTTTGTACATAAGGATTTAATAATTCCCATTAAAAATTACTTTGCTGCCCGCCATTTGATAATTTTCAGTTTGCGCTCAAGTGATCCCGAAAGAAGGTGTTCCTGTAATCCCTATTTCCAACAGGCATGGGATCAAAATTTTCAAAAGCCATTTTAAGGTGAATAAAAACTTGAAACTGTATCTTGAAAGCTAAAGTTCCATTTCTGATCACAGAAATGATCTTTAATTTTCAGATTAGATAATATTAGTATATAATATTCCCTTAAAAAGTCCATTGTAAATATTGCCACAGATGATAACTCATTCTACTTGTTGTACCAAATAAGCTACTGGTGTTCTGGATCCAGCAGCACAACACTCACAGCTATACTAGATCCAGAACCTTAATAAACTACATACACTAAATATATCAGCCAACAGCAAAGTGGTTGTACCAATTATGGATCTGCTAACTATGAGCTGTAGCTATTGGCATGTTTGTGTGGCACACACAGGAGCGGTCTATGCAACTTTTGTGGTTCAGAACCTATCTTCATAAATTTTTCTTCTTTAAGATAATTTGTCAAGATTACCAAGACTAAGATTAGTTGAGAAATACAATACTGTCTTAAGCCTGTTGCCACTAAAACATGCTGACAGTGAACAAGGCACTTGGTCTTTCTTTAGCAATACTGTACTCTGTTGATTGTTAGTTTTAACATCTGAGGAGCAAGGTTGTGCTTACATAGAGAAGAGGCGGCTGCATTCAACATTAGCCTAATTCTGTACCATTTCTAATCAGTATTACTGTAGTGCTTTCAATAACAAGCAAAACACTGAGTGGACAGTGACCATACTTTTTCAACCAAGTACTGTAGTTAAGATAATGTACTGTATATACTACTGTAGTACTTAAATAATTTGGAGAAAATACTCGATTCCATCCGTGAGAGATGTGCAACGTCCATATACTGCAAACCATATATTTCTTACATGATAAACAAGAGAGTAAGCAAGTATTTAAGAACAAACACCAATTAATCAGCTGTACATTTTTAAGTGGTGAGAACAAGAAGGAATATATACAGAGACGTGACCGATCGCCCAAGCGGCTAACGAGCCGATCAGTGGTGAAGAGGATAAAAGTACTGTACATAGCATACAAATTGGTAGTAGTAAAGTGAATTCAATTACGAGTGTATACCATAATACTGTATGCTGACTAATCAAGTTAAGGATGTAATTAGTGGCAAGCAAATACAATATGAGATAGAAGCACAAAGTCTAGGTCACATGGCAAATGTTGATATAGGCTGGTAACAGCCGCCTTACTGATTCTGACTCCTGCTCCTCAGTTTGCTCAGTATCCTCTACTTCCTCAGTATCCTCAACTTCCTCAGTTTCCTCAATTTCCTCAGTATCCTCATTATCGATGATTTTGTTCTCAAATTTTTCCACATCGCTGAGGAGTTGTGTTCCCTCCCCGCACAAAATGTCCTCCGTAGACTCATACTTTTCCTCCTCCTCCTCATCCTCCTCCTCATTCTCTATTTGTTCATATTCATCCTCAATCTCATCCTGTAAGATTTTGGAGAGATTTCTTAGAGAGTAATTACCACCCACTGACTCTTAAACTGAAACACCGTTCGTAGATTTGTATAAATCATAAAGTTAAATAAAAGATAATGTATGAATTGTGTGTCATAACCAAAGGTAAAAATTTCAGTAAAGACTTGTGTTCTCTTTCAAAAATATATTAAGAGAAGATGTTCACAAAAATATTATATGCATTGAATGACAATCTCTGTTATAACACACAAATCATTCCTAAAATAATAATAATAATAATAATAATAATAATAATAAACTGCACTGACTACCCCTGAGAACAGAGGAGTCACCACATGTAGACACTGACCAGTCCTCCCGCTGGCTGGATCTGGCCAAAGCGAGTAGTTCTCCAGTTTTCAACAATTAGAAGACCACCATAAATTTTGCCCACTGTCAGCTTTTCATATTTTAACTCTGTGGAAGAAATTAGAGATGAGTACCAGGTGTAAATATGAAAAGAGATACTGTGCTCGGGATAATGTCTGTGGCAGGAGAGTATACGAGGGTAATTAATCTGTTCAAATAAATTCCATTATATGGACTAATGGACTATAAGGGAGAGGATAGTGCATTATAAAGAGGCTTCACTGTATAATCATGTTGGTTCAAGTTCTCCCGTTCACTCCTTTGTTTCCTTCACACAGTTCTCCATCTGACATATATTTCTTAACACACCTCCTCCTCCTCTTCTTCCCTCAGCTCCTATTTGGCTCATCACTCCCTCTTCTATTTCCCGACATATCAACACCTAATTATCTGAACTTTTCCTCCATTTGGTCTCTATTCAAAGTAATTATCATCTCATCTTATCTCCTTTCTATAATTAATTTCAATACCTTACATAACTTAACTTACCATCATCAGGAGGCACTATGAAGTCTATATTCTTTTTAGCTTGGATGGGCCACAGTTTCTTTATAGTGGCTCGAAGTTCCAAATCTGCTTGATCCATCTCTTCAGCCGGCCTCATCTTGATACATAGGTTTTCCCGTATTAATGCAAATAACGTTGTTGTGAATTGAACCTGCGAACGATGCACAAAGGTGAGTGGAACGATAAAATTGGTGAATAATGAAGCGTCATGCAACACAAATATGAGGATGGGAAATAACCAGTATCAAGATCAAGATGAAATGTGTTGGTTCTGGACAATGTTTGTAGAGGAGTGTGAAAATAAAACAGGATAATTGAAAGGTAAGAAGAAATAGTTTTCAAAATATCTCAATTATGCAAGGACAAAATTTTCTTGGTAACCCTAGACTAAACTGAACTAAAAAAAATAAGTAAATTACATGTAAATATTAAAATGGTGAACTTAATAAGCAAGTTGGAGGTAATGTGACCTTACTAATCATTTGGTATTCATTAAACCAAGTACAGGTACAGGTATTCATTAAACCAAGTACAGGTACAGGTATATACTCACCCAAGTACAGGTACAGGTATACACTCACCCAAGACTCCTCTACATCCTCCCCTTCACCTCCGAGTCTTCTGTTATCTTGAACTGATCTCGATAACTGATCAGCTCTAAATCCCTGAGAGTGAACCTATTGTCTAACCTTGTACACATCCATCCCTACCAATCTAAAGACACCGACTGGACAAAATGCATCAGAAAAAGAAATTAGGAGACATACAGTAGTGTACAACAAATATGATTACATGATGGCTTATACAAAAATTATATCACTTGATTGTCCTGCGTGGCATATTACCTTTAACCAAAAAGTAATAAAATGAAGAAGAATGGTATTAAACATATACTGTACTGACTACTATGAGCACAGACACAAAACAGACAGAGTCTCACCTTCCCGTCAGTGTCTAATGGCATGTTCATTCGTATAAGTTTCTTGTACGCTAACCGGGAGGGACACTTGTTGCCAAACCCTAGAGGTGGATCCATGTCTCTTAACATTTCGTACATCTCAGTGTAGTGGATTTTCCCTCTGTAAAGTAAACAAGTTAATTAGTACAGGTATGAATATCTGGTAGGTAGTAATGGTGAAGAAGTAAACACCAATGAGAGGCACTGAAGAGGACCAAATTACTTCCTTTATCTCCGGGTTAGGTGTCCGTGGTCTGGTGCAAGGTTCTCCATTATTTATATTCTGACAAAATTAACGCTGGAACAATAGCAATGGAGTAAACATAAACAAGATCTGTGGTGAGGCTGTAAACATGTGTTTAGGACCAACAAAAATGTCTTACCATATCATTGTTCATCGTATAGTCGAGCGAATAGATGTGTTACGTCAATCCTTATGTTCTATATAAGACATTATTATAATTTGCAATGGTTATTCACCATATTAATTTCTGTATTATTGTATCTCCTTGACATTACTTCAGAAATAAATCACACGCATAAAGAACTTGTCCAATGACCAAGATGGATGGGAGGAAGAAACTAAGAAGTAAGACTCTTATATTCAAGTAAGTAAGTGTATAATACTCACGTGGCATTGGGGTCATATTCAGCCCATATTCTGATGAATTCATCAAGATGATGGGCACCAAGGATGGATGAGTCTCTAGTCAAGTAGTCAAAATTGTCCATGATGACAGCAACAAAAAGGTTCAACATCTGCCAGGGGTCAATGTATTAGTATATCACAAGGAACATTTCTCATACTATGCAAGAAAACTTTACTCCTCTCATATAATATAGTTTTTGTAGTATAGGTAAGATTAAAGCAATATTTCTTTGACTATAAATGTAAAATGTTCCAAGATACCACAGGGAGAATTTTGTAAACAGGTATATATCATCCTGCTGTGAGAAACTGAAATACTTTATCATCAAGGCTGGTCATGTAACGGCTACTTCATCTCTCACAGGTACAAGATGTGTTGGACAGTTTGGATCACATATGAAGTAGCACTAAGATGGTATTATCTTCTATATACAGTACATGCTGAACCAACTGTGAACTCATAGGACGAATTTACTGAATAAATATATCTCTATCTCTCTATCTATCTATCTACCGTACTTACCAAGAATGAACAGAGGAAAATGAAAGACACAAAGTAGACATAGGCTACGTTAGAGCCACAAGTCTTGTTTGGCTCATTCTTGAGTGCATCGTCATCACAAGGTCTTCCCTTTATGCACGATAACATGATGCTCTGCCAGGCTTCTCCAGTAGCACATCTGCATAGTTCAGAAGTACATTATATTTTTGAAATAGACTGATATATTTCTTTTAAAACTATTCTCATTCTTCCTACAATATACTACATTATTTAATGATTCATACTTCATCAAAGGCAACTATTAAATCTAAATAAAACATCTAAGTTATAATTTTAAATACTCTACTACTTATAAACTCATTTTTAAATTTAAGAGAAAAAGTTACTTAAAAAACCTCAAACTCCACCATATTGAAGACACTCTACATTAAACTATACAATCTGTTTATCAACAGGTTTTTTCTGCTCATAATGTCAAAACAAAGACCTACACGTGATATAAATATGCAAATTGGATGTCATAACAGAACCAAAATGTATAATCTGTAGAAAAACTGAACAATACTGAATGATGAATGACACCATCTTAGACCTCAATGTCAAGTGTCTCCTGAATACAACACTACACTAAACGATCAACCTTCACTTTTGAGTCAACTTAAGGAACAAGATCTGAACTAATACACCAGGCAGGAAGTATAACACAGGTTCATTATCATATTCGAGAACCTTAAACGATTACTAGAAGACAATATACCGTATAGGCTTCTCGAATAAAAAATATTACCCTGTAGTACTTCTTGTCTGGTTAGGTTAAATTAAATGACTTAATTTATTATGAATGAGAAATTGATTGCAAGTCATCGATCATATCTTGCTGAGATGTAAGAGGTCTAAGGTAGCAATACAGTATTAACCACTGTCTAGAAATTATTCAATGTTCTTATGTATAAAACTGACTCACTTCAAACAAAAAGTCATACACATTGGCTTCCTGAACTCAAATCACCGCTGGCCATTGAACGGTAATATCTCTGTTTCGTGTTTATCTTATGAGCAGTTGTGACATCATTTAACATTTACATGACATTAGTTCACTTTCTCATTAGGCTTTTGAATCCACAGAGAGAGAGAAAAAGAGAGAGAGAGAGAGAGAGAAAGAGAGAGAGAGAGAGAGAGGTACTAATATGAACCTGTGTAGTCTTCAATATGGTGTAGTCGGGAGAGTCACATAATATGCACTGGGTGTATGTGTACTGTACATGGTAGTCAAGATATAATAAATATTCTCTAAAATACTTCCTAGATGCTCTTAAGTAAATAAACCTATACAAAAAACTAAATTGAGTTACTAAATACTACAAGATCTCTTAAACTGATGGAGCTGATTAATATTATAAGGTCAGAAAGAGCCTTAGTCAAATGAGTCTGCTTATGATGTTTTAAAAATGTTTAGTTCTGCTTTAAGATGAAATTTCATAAACATATAAACAGCAACAATACAACGGACGAATTTTCCCGACACATAAAATATAGTGTTCGGGAAATATTAAAACTAGTGTCTAAATTGTTCTCGGAGGCTTACAAAGGTGACATTTCATCATATATTGTAAGGTTGGTAGTACTAGGTCAACTGATACTGTAAGGTTGGTAGTACTAGGTCAACTGATACTGTAAGGTTGGTAGTACTTGGTCAACTGATACTGTAAGGTTGGTAGTACTTGGTCAACTGATATTGTAAGTGAAATCAACAACTGTCACAAAATGTCTCAGGTAAGAAGCTGTTAGACACATTTCTATTTAATTACATACGTCAGTAATATGAAATTTAAATTATAATATATCTTTAGTGTATAATTTTTAAGTATCATATATGTATTAGCAGGAAGCCTAACAATATTCGAAACAAAGTCTTCATATTTACAACAATTCTTATGTCACTCTGCATACACCAAGATTATTTTTTTTTTATTATTTCTTAGGCTAAGGAATTATATATAGTACTGCACTCAAGAATGGATGATTCCATTAATGTACAGTCACCCACATGTCCTATTGACTCTCCTGCTGTTCCATAAACCTGGAGATTCAGGCTCGTGAACCCAAAGCAGTAGACACTGATGCATTATTCTGTCCGTAAATGCTTTGGATTCATAAGTCTGAATCACGGGGTTCGTGGTTCAGGAGGAGAGGCGACAAGACTTTTGTGGGTGACTATACACCTTAAGACTGTATGTTCCTCTTAGTTCATCACTTATTATACGCTGGTGGAGCACATAATAAGGCACTACAGTATATTCCTTTCAATGGAGAAATCTATAGAATTTCACCAGGAGCATTATGTGTACAGGAGGCTGACCGTGGGTTACCTTGATGTATAGAGAACACTTGCAGTATATGGCACTGGAAGGTTATGTGAGATACACCAGGAGTTGTGGCCACAATAATTTAACAGAAATAAATAAAGAGACATTAGTAAAACAGATGTTGGTTTAAAACTAACAGGCTTTACAAAATAAACTAAAATATGGTAAAAAATTCTATATACAATATTTATATACCCTTTATATATATATATATATATATATATATATATATATATATATATATATATATATATATATATATATATATATATATATATATATATATATATATATATATATATATATATATATATATATATATATATATATATATATATATATATATATATATATATATATATATATATATATATATATATATATATATATATATATATATATATATATATATATATATATATATATATATATTATATACAATGTCTGAAATTGGATATATTTGTCATTACTATAAAGTCCAGCTCCATGTGCTCTGTACATAAATAAGGTAAAGTAAATTATATATTGTACAACAAGACAACAGACATTTATGGTAGTCCTACTGTACTGTACAACTAAATCCTCTTCACTCAGCTCGACCAGCAGGGGTGTAACTGTTTAACTCTCATTGTTTACAAAGTGTATTTACACCACCAACAATCCTTACTGCTATGCCATAAACACATGATCTGTGTTTATATAATTTCTAACTTTTCCTGCCAGGACGAGATAGGACCAGACTTTGGTCTACACCGTCCAAAGTTTAGATTTTGTCTTCATACAATGATCTCATGTAATTAATGAGTGGATCCAAGAAACAGATCTACTGACCCAAACAGATAACTTATTTTACTTCCTAGCCACTGAATTTCTGCTTTACTGAGGGAGCACTTGTAAATGTGCAGCAAAAGTTGTTGGTTGTGTTTTCTGTCTCTGGCAGTTCTGTAATTAAGTCTCAGACCAAACTGCTATAAGAGCACAGAACCAGCCCCAAGGTAATGGATGCTGATGATATTTCAATGGAATTCAGGAGGCAGTGATTCTTCCTCTGTCAGGCTACCAGTGTCTGAATTATACGGGAGTGTAAATATATTTCCTCAAACTCGTGTAGAGCAGAGACATTCGATTTGTATTTACATTATCTGGTTTGAGTTGCCATATTACATAACTTCTTAGGAATTTATAGTTTCCAAAGAAAAGCTAAACCCAGGGAGCAGATCAGACTCCAGGACACTCAACATCTATGAGAAGTTTTAAATCATAATTAATCATTTTAGTAATGTATTGTACTGTATCATAGAAAAAGCGTTCAACTGCATCTATGGTATAATTACTGGTACTGTATTATCAATGAATGTGTAATATATAATGATGTAAATGATTTGGTGGAAATATAGTTAATAAATACCATTATAGTTTGTGTGACATATTTACATACCACAAACACAGTATAGAAATGCATTGGTTCTGTATATCACAAATAACAATACATATCTGATTACACTTCTGACACACGCATGACAAGTGCTGTATAGATTAATCCTGATTCATAGAGGTTCATCTCCCAGAGGACTATTTAGTATAGTCTGGACACACAGCAAAGGGCAACGTTTATCATCGTCTCTGTGTAAATCTAATATTTCTAAACTCATTTTCTCCAACAATATATAAAAGATCAAAGTTTCTTACCTTTAAAACTCATATATTTTTGTTATATTCAGTTTTTCAGAAAATTATTTTGTGCTGGTAATAGTCAAGTACAGTATCTCCAATGTCATGGCCACTCATCTGGAATTTCTCAATACTGTACTCTGAGAATGGTGTCAATGCCCTTATGAAGTACATTTTCCTACAATTGTGAAAAAAATAAAATAAAATTGTATATTCTACCTACCACACTTGTCCCACAATCTGGTTAGCCTGCACCAGAGCTCGAGAACGGAGATATAGCAACATTGAAGACTTTTCTCTGTTGTCTCTTGCGTGTTCTCAATATGCCGTAAACTTATATTTTTCTCCAATACGAGACAAAACATGTTCTGGCTGACTCAAACTATTATTGATGAGTCACAAGTTACCACCCCTGATACTACCGCACCTCCAACCTTCACTCGCTCTAACATACTGACATTTATATCTATTACCTCAATCAATAGTGTACTTCTACATCCACTATTAATTATGAAACATCTTACAGTATCAGAAACATACTTTAGTCTTCAAGTAATGTGAGCCGCATTGTACTGGGGTAATATAAAACTACACGTCAGATTATAAACATGAATGATTACGTTCTTTCTGCTTGAAGAGAAGTTTCTATTTCTAAATATTCTTTTGTTTGTCATACAGTGGCTACGTATCTCTCTGTGAATGATAGACGAGACTTTATATTCTATCAAATGGTTCTCGTGAATAAGTATTATTATATAAAAATTTTAAATTTGCAGAGAATTATTATAAAGTTCTAATATCAAAGGGAATGATGACAGTCCATTAATATTGTTTGACTCCTTGTGTTATTTGACATGTACTTGATTAAAGTATTTTCTTGACAACAGAAGCGTATTTGAAGTGACTTTTTCCATCCTTAAAGTGCATCATAAACAGATCTCATTTGATGGCCTTCCAACAAGACAAAAGTGAGACTCCATTACCAAAGTGACATGAAAATGCTAAAAACCGATTCTGAAGTTAAACTCAATAATGAATATTGTTTACGTCACTAGTCCTACGATAACCATAATTAAACCTTGAATGGCATTACAATGAATAAATAAACGATCTTAATACAGCATTCAGGTGAACACTGACTCAGGGTAACGTGTACCCTGCAGCGAGCAAAGTATTGATATTTTTTTAGCAAAACAAACAACAAAAGCAAACACCACTTACCTTGTACAGCTTCTGACAACAGTATTATTAATCAACTAATTGTCCCTAAACTACAAAGCAAGCACTATACAGGGAGGCAAGGGTCTACGAGGAAAGGTTCAGTGGATTAAGGCAGTAATATGCAGGTCATAATACAGTATGTAACATTCTATGGTGATGGTGGAGGTTTGAGGAGGTGTTGGGAGTGACTTGGTGTGAAGGAGGTGATCAAGGGAGTGGTAAGGATGGAAAGGGGGACCATTGACAACACCATGTGGTGGAGGTCAGTGGCTACCTGGACAGCCGTCAGCTACAGTAAGTGAGTGGCTGTGTGGCGTCTCTCATCAGGATATTGTTATCCACTACCTGTCTACACCACACTGTCAGCTGCTCGGTCATGCATTGTGAGAGTGAGCCTATGTGTGTGGGGTACCGTGCGGAGTTCACAGAGGGTGCTGTTGCTGCAGCCAGCTGTGTGGGCTGGTGGTGATGGTGATGGTGGTGGTGGTCCTTTACTACACATCCAAAAAGTAACACTGGACTACACCATCATGTTCTCATGGTGACAATGTAGTACTCAACACCTACATCTTCAAAGGATATTGTTTTTGCATAACTAAGTTATGCATAAGCAGCTCCTATGTGGTTATTATTAACACAAACACCTAGTGAGACAATGTACAGTAAAACAATTACAGTACATTAACATCCCAAGAGGTAGTGATGTACACCTTCAAGTCCCAACAACCAGCACCACAGTTATATCCAATGTGTTTAAATACTTTATGGATCTTATATCCTTCCTATATGATATATGGATGACAGATTTTGCACTCTGAAGTTGTTACCATAGAGGTGGGAACATGATGTAGCTCTCAAGAGAGTTTCTAATTATGATGACCTATAACACCAGTACTGTACAGTCAGTCTTCTAAAGTCTATGTTTTGGACGGTAATATGTGGAGAGATGCTCCAACCTAAGGACGACTACCACGTATAGAGAAGTATAGCGGTAAATGGTAATTTTCATATAAACATTTGTGTAATGCACTGAGATGTACCCATGGCTGAGAGTGGATATAAATTATTACCAATGATTTTCTATAAATAGAATGTGTTGATGGAATATTCTTAACTTGGTATAAAGCACTGGTGACCACATGGCTTGGATTAAGGGCATTGCCATATTAAAAATTAGATAAGAAATATCTTCCAATAAAATCAATAACTTCCACAAATTCCAATTACTAATTCCAGTTTCTTTCAGTAAGAAAAAAATCCTATACAATTCAGTGGGTCTTTAAAAATATGTGATATCATTCACATTATTAAAGGAGTTTCAAGACTCCTTCAAGGGAGGACTGTGCAGCTGGAGCCACGCACCAAGTTCATCCACACATGCCCAACGCTACATAACACGCATGCCGTCACCCACGCAGCCTACAGTGCATAACTTAAAGAATAAACAAAAAGACTTGTTTTATTTCAAGGTGTCATATTTAAAGTAAATCATAGATAAAAAAGAAAGAACTACAATACTTTAACTGGTGTTTTAGGTGCAGTGAGTGTCTGTCTAGGTTGATTTATACATAAAAAAATTCACTAGAAATAAAAAAAGTTTCTCCTTGTAATTGGTCTCCTGCGAAAATTTTGGTGCTGAATTTGTATGGCCGAGGTGATCACATTTAGAAAACATTTCCTCCTACAGCAGTAGTGATCACATCAAGGTAACATATCCATCCTACAGCACAGTTACACACCAATGCAGAAAATGGCATCCATATCACAAAATACTGTATTAAAACCCTATGTTTTACATTGTAGCATTATGTGGCACTGAAAAAAGGCTCACTCATACAAAAATTAGTAGACAAAAAAACTGTGCAGATCCTGCAAAAAAAAAAAGTATAAAAAAAGAGGGCAATTCCACATAAAGAATTGTGGCAAAAATTAATACAGTATTTTGTAGCGATGACAGCTGTAGCTTTTGAGGAACGGAGATCACAAGAACTGCAGTGACAAAAGTTTGGACAGAAGAAAATGGCCAATTTTGCCGCTGAGTCACTTTCGAGTGCCAGGAAAAAGTAACTTAAGATGGGTTACCTGAATAAGAGCATTATGCCCGTTGCAAAATTTCTAAAGTTGTTGTGGCGTGTTATAGACGTGGTAGGATCCAAATCTATATTACCAAAGACCTGGGTGACGGAGGGAAACAAAAAACAAGAAACTTAGGATTACTCAAAATTCCAAACTCGATATCTATACTAAGGGGCTTCTGAGGCACACCAAGACTTGGAGGGTATCAACATTAGGTTTTCAGGGGGTTATGAGATGAGAAAAAGTGAGGTAATGAGAGGTCAAGAATAGGTAAAGAAAGGTTAAGTTTAGGGCAGGGGCCAAGGGTTGTCCTCTCACCAGGGCTCTCAGGGGAAACAAGTGACCAGTCGCTAGGGTCATATCAGGGTCAAAATTCAGGAGATGGGACAAAAAACTCTGCACAGGTTAATATACTCTAGGGAATAAGACGATCCCTCACCAAAAAGTGGGCAAGCACCACAGATACTATCTAGTCTAGGTTAGCTAGTCTAGGCTAGTTGGATCACATATCTAGTGTTACGTTACCTTCTACATGAAACTAAACTACACGGCATTGCCATCTAGAGGACTAGACATGTCACCAGACGGCTAAACATCACATGTCTGTTCAGGAATATAACTAGACTTTACTGTTCCGGGATGCTAGGGTCTCACTTTGAGGCTATGTCGAGCCCATGGGGTCCTGCGAATTTGTGTATCATTCTCAGAAGGTTAATATCTTGGCACTGAACAGACATTCGTCTCAGTGTTCAGGCCTAGAGATGGGAATCATAAATACTGGATCTGTCTCAGGTTGCTATTGGCCGAGCCTGGGTGGTGGGGGGTTGCAAACTCACCGAAATAAGAGCAAGAGACCGGCGAAGAAAGACTGAAAGTTGTTATGTCGATTTAGGTCAGTGTCGGGGTCAAATTTCATGTTGCCAAAAACCTGGGTGTGAAGTACGGGAGAAAAAAGACGGGAGAGTTGCTGTAAAGTCGGGTGGGTGGAAATGGTTAAGTGCATGGCCAGCCATTTGGGCAGCACTGCACGACCAATATGGCGGGTAGGAGGCCACGTTTCTCGCTCTTTCCGTGGCCCCGAACCACAGCCATTGCTTGCTTAATGACCCATAATAAAAGAACACAGGTTTAGTAGGTCAACAAGACACACAACTCTTACATAGTCAGTACTGCAAGAGCCATAATCTAAAGAGAATATTTCGATGACTACCACAAAATATGATGAACAATACTAAATATTTTTGTAGCTGTAATAAATATATTTAGTCTAAAATTCTCTTTAGGATTGTGGTCTTTTATGTTGGGTCAAACTCTTTAACAGAACACGAGTCACATTTAACATAGGAAATAATACTGAATGGGCTTTGATCGTCAACACTATGAGAAGGATATTCACATGATCTAAAATTACTGGAGTTTTGGGGATAGATTTTAACCAAATGGAAAGACAGTAAGACCCAGATGGGGGTTTGGTGTCCTACACGATAAGAGACGCAAGAAACAGGATAATGAAGTAAGCCCTTGGTGAGTAGACCACAAGTATTATCTTGGGGATGATAACTCACTTTTTTACATCACATCATTGGTAAAATGTTTATAATGATTAGCTTAAATCTAAAAGTGAATTCATACATGGAAGAAACCATAATTATATATTCCTGTTAAAAAAGTAGTGGATTGAATAGTGTCAAAGAAAAAAGAGGAAAAGTAATGAAAAAGATAATCAGGCTGTCTGTATAAGGTTAAGAATGGTAAGGCACAGGAGTGGTGGTGTGAGACAACAGAGTACAGCCTGTGTGTGACAGAGAAAAAGATACTAAGGATTGGCAGACAGCAACGCATAGTTCCCCGTACAGTATAAATACAAAGGTAGTAAGAATATATATGAAAATTAATGAAGAACAAGTCTTAAATATATCAGTGTATGGTGCTTATTATTGATGGAATTTTATAGTAATAACACCAAAAAGTGAATGAGGGGAGGATCAGTGTGGGCCTATGGATCAAGATGAAGTTCTTGGGAGGAATTTACTGACTAAAGTGAAGCAAACAATGGAGAAAGGTACTGTAGAGTGAGAGACAGGCACAGGGAGAGAGAGAGGCACAGTGAGAGTAAAAGGCAATGAAAGAGAGGGGCAAAGTGAGAGAGATGTAGTGAGAGAGGGAGAGAAAGAGAGAGAGAGATACAAGTTTAGTGAATAAAGATACTGGATGTATATGGAAACTTGGTCAGCTGCTGTCTGCCTAAGTGGGTAACTCAGAAGTAAAGTATTGCCCAATGACTTAAGACGAGTGTGCACTTACTGAAAGCTCTTAAGGAATATGAACAAAAGTTAAAAGATTAGAATAAGTAGAGATAGAAGATGGGACAAAAAATAAATGATAGAGGTAAATTTGAATGAAGATAAAATAGAGGAAGTGGAGTGTATTTGACGTCTTGAAGTGGATGTGTGTGTGTGAGTGTGTGGAAAGTACAGGCAGAATCACCATCAAAGGTTTCGTTCAGTGGTCGGCCATACACTCAGAAGCCATGAGCACTTACGACCCACCACTGATGACCAAAATACTTGGTAAATGATTCTTCAAACTAGACGGCTATCACAAAAATAGTGAAGCAGGTGACATTTAGTTCACGAAGAAGATGAGAACTGCCTTGTTATTATGAGATAAGAAAATGTAATCAAGAGAGAAAAGACACAATATTAAAAGTGTTGGAAGAAAAGATGGAATTATGTAAAAATAATACAAACTGTACAAAGATAGAGTGTTGTATGAGAGTGTATGGCAGACCACCATGGGGGGGTAAAGTAGTAAGAATGTAGCCACAGACAAGAATCATCACTGGCACATATGGGGAATTCATTTATCACTCCCATAAACAAAATAAGTTTCCATGGGTGATCAAGGCAAAATAGTCCCATGAGTAATACTTTAGATTATTACACATGTTATTCTTAACAATATATATCATGAATATTATAACAGAAATACTCATATGAAAAAAAAAAAGAGATAAATGATGGGGTATATTATCTTCATGACAACACAATGAAAATAAATCTACTTTTTATGTCAAAGAAATATTATTTCAACGCGTGGATACTCGGGGTAGCAGTAGAGACAGTCACTAAGCTTACCTGCATCCCAATAATAGCATAGATGAAGAACAACATGGCTATAAGAAGACAAACATATGGCAGCGCCTGTGGGAAGAAGTAAGTTCATTGTTAGTGCCTTGTCAGGGCCCACGACTCACTGCACAACACTGTCTACTTGTTTATTGGTAAGGAGGATTCCTATCAGCACAGTTTGGTGGAAATAAAGCAAGAGCAAGACCATGAAATAGACAGATATCCATTGTAAGTGAATTAATAAGATCAAGAGGCAGCACATCAGAAAATGCTGAAAAAAAGAGAGATTGTTTTAACCTTCTAGTACAGGCGGCAGTGAATTGCAAGCCACAAACTGGAGAACAAATTCAAAATAAATAATGTCACTGTATTAACTCCTTTACTAATGTATCCACATAAATGACATCAAAGTTTAAATCCAAACTGAACAAGCATTATCACCTGTACATATTAATGACGTCACTCACCTTGAAAGACTGCACAAACGTCCATAATAATATACGAATTGTGTAACCTTGGCGAAGTAGTTTTATAAGTCGGGCTGCTCGGAATAGACGCAAGAACCCGACGTTGATGAAGTTCTCCTGTAAGAATGGGAATAGCAACAGAATATTAGTCGACACGGTAAACAAACTGTGGAATTCTTAATCTATATGTATCCTGTGCATATATCTTTTTACCTTTACTCTTTCAAGTTCTCTTTTCCCACTAAAATGCCAGGTAAAGACAATCAAAAACACATACATAATGCCCCTTTATTCGCTGCCATTCATTCATTCATCCTTACTGACGTGTTTTGTGTATAGTACTGTATTCTCCCTACCACAATACGGTCCACTTGTCAATCTGATTTACGCTGGTTGTGTCACTTGAGCCGACATCACACCCCAATGGCATAGCCTTCCCAAAAAAATCACTCTGTATCCTGCTCTCTGTTCACTCAGACACAATGCTTGCTGCCTCCTAGATAGCCTTCATATCATTACTGACACAGCCTTCACCACCTCATTCAATCACGTTTTTAGTATTCCTTCATAATATTTACTATTGTACAATCTTTTTATTAACTATCTATTTCCCATTCTCTTAACATGTCTACACTGCCTGACTGAACATACCCACATCTCACCTCTCTTTCCATCACTTGTACACTACACTTTGTACACTCAGTATTAAATGAATGAAATCAAGTGTGTTTGGAAGTGACAGAAGCATCAACCTTCAGTGGGCTAGGAACCTGTCATGTAGGGAGGGGGGGATAACCCTCTACCAGCTACATGTTAAGCTTCAGGGGATCAAGACCTGTCATGCCACCCTGCATCATAGTGGGAGGAGACTTGTGAGAGTGAAAGACAAAAACACACAAGCACACACACACACACACACACACACACACATATATATATATATATATATATACATTACATTACTACATATACTGTATACAGTATATGGCTACGTTTTATATATTTTTTAATATTCAATAATTGTATTTTTACACATTCTAAACCATCAATTAATATGCACTAATGTATTTCAAAATACTGTAGCTTAAAACTTTGGTTAAAAAATAAACAAAAGTCAATACAGTACAGTACAATAAGATGCCAAATCTAAAAGATTCCAATGTTACATAGCCTATAAACATTACTGGTCTCTTAAGCTCTGTAGTATATGCATATCATCAAGCACTGCACTTCACAGGCAAACACAAGCTGCCTCAAATAATAAATACATAAAAGCTGAACATTACCTAACCAAAGACCCCAATCAACAAAGGGTGATGATAATAATATTGTACTGGGCTAAGACAAGAATACTCTGTTGTCCTTTACTTAGGAGTATCAATGTTAGGGAGGAAAAGGGAATCAGTAGCATATCCAAAGGGCCACAAGGGAGTGACTGTACCGGGTCACAGCTTGGGGTGTGGGGTCGGCTGACACCCACATAAACACGTTATATTCAGTACTTATGAATCTCATACACAATACTGAAAACACTGATAATATCCCATCACTGCAAAAGTATATATTTAAATATAAATATCAAGTTTGCATTATTTAATTGCAATCTATTTTTCACTAAAAAAATTCAAGTCATCATAAAAATTAAAAAAAGGATCAGGACCCCTAACTATGATAAGATTAACAGCATTAAACCTGGATGTATCTGATTATTAATGGCTGGCAGCTGTGAACATTTTGAGATTATAAATGCCCTGAAAACCCATTAATTTTCTAGTTCAACTCTTACAAAGTATCAGAGTACTCACGGTTTCATAACAAATTACATTTATACTTGGAAAAGCTTTGATATTTTTTATAAAAACCTAACAATAATAAGACACACAGAATTAAAGAGTGACAGTGAGCCTATTTCTTGAATCATGAATTGTAGAATATTGAACAAGAAGTCAGATATAATAGTGTATATAACAACACAAAAGGCTTATTTCTTAATGGGTGGTTGTTCCTGATGTTTTGTCTCATGCGCAAAGGATTAGTTTTACTGGGCTTCTGTTGCTGGGAGTTTACCAAGCAGGTGTTCAAGGAAAAAATATATATTTATAAGTACGTACTGGGTAAAATAAATATAAGACTTACATTTCATTTCTCACCCACTACTAAATAAAGTTTATCAACATTTTCATCACACTTTACTTGTAATGTTGAAGAATATTATTGACACATTACTAAACATACCAGGAAAGTAAACCAACAATAAAGATTTACATTAATAACATGCTGGTGTGCCTGTAAGGACTGGTTGTTTAGTTGACTGTTCACTCAATACATGGAACAAGATGCACATAAGGTAGTGACTTGCATCCATTTGAGGGATGGCTCTTTTATCCAGCCTTACTTTTAGGTACAATAGCTTCCTATCTTCCATACTGGGTTTAAGCTATGGAAGGAGACCAGGAACACCAACACAAAACTTGAGGCTACGTGGCCCAAGAAAATACATCAAGACTCGTCACCCAGTGTCTTAAAATGTAAGCCTAAGTTGGGGTCCCGATTTTTTTTTCTCAGCTGTACATGTATGGAATAACCACTGTTTTATGAGAACTTGAAAGACAATGTGTTGAGTTCACTCTGTGGGTATTTAAAACATAGTTGTATCATTCCCCATGGTCAAATTCTACAGCATATGTTTAAGGGTGGGGGCCTAGTAAGGAGGAGGTATGCCACGGCTAACAACTACCTCTCCATATAGGTAAACTTACTGTCCCTTCTCCATACATTCGCTGGGATTAGAAAATAAGTTGTGTCAGATATTTGTCATCAGATTACCTTGTAAAATATCTTGAAATAAACAATAAAAGACATGCTAAAAAATATTAAATATAAATGTGTACCAAAGTTTTCCTCATGAGAATGAGGTGAATAAAAACTTGTATGTTAGTTTCTAGAGAGAGAGAGAGAGAGAGAGAGAGAGTCTGTCAGAGGAGACGGAAAACAAAAGAGACTTAGAAATCAATGAAACAAATGACAAGCAAAACAAAATATACAGTATATCACTGGAGGAAGGACGTAATGGTCATCAAAATATACTCTCATGGGAATAAGTCATAACGCATTATCTTCACTTGGGGTATTGTATTAATATTTCCCGATTATAAATACTGTATTAACAAAATAATGGAATAAAAATGCAATGCAAGGACAGCACACTGCTGCGAACGACTCTCCAGCCTTGCATAATACTGTACTGACAAGATTTGACACCATGCCCTACTTACCTGAGTCCCAAACATTCTCTATTAGAGAAAATCAAAATATCATTAAATAGTATAAAAATACTAAAAAAAATAAAAAATATTGAAAATTTCAACTCGAACTATTCAACTACAAAACTTCTAACAAAATCTATGAACCTAAAAAATTCCAACAACAACCGAAAAATCAGTTTCCAGCTCCCCAACTTAAATATGTTTTTAACTACTCTACAACTCTACTGCTTAAATGAGAAAATCCTCACAAGAAAAATATAATGAAAATTTTGTAGCACTTCAGGTAAAAATACAAAATACCCTCCCCTCCTCCTTCTGATTTGAATCTTGAACAGGATTCTTAAAAATACCTGCAGACAACTGAGGAAGGGGAGGTAAGTAATGTCCATCTATCTACTGACTAAACTACTGACGTTACTGAAGGCAATAAAAGTTTCATCCACGTGCACAACAAGTGAGGAGGATGGTCAGGAGTTTCTACCTCACAATGCTTCCCCAAAAGGAGTATTTTACTTTCATATAATTTACTATATTTTAACCTCTTCTCCACTTATCAGCAAACTTGAGCAGTCTGTCAGTTCTTCTTTATGCACTGTTGACAAGTACAGTACTCACTCTTGAATGTACCTGAACATGTTCCAGTAATTGTCAAGTCTGAACATAAAAGAGCTCACACTTAGTGCTGTCACAACCATTCTCCAGCAGGTTATTCCAAGAGTACACAACTCACACTCCAAATAAGTTAACTCAGACAGTTTTCTGTATTAATATCTTCTTTAGTTTGAGGTTGTGACCTGTAGTGGGACAGCCATCCACTAACTCCAGATATGTACAGTACATTTGACTCAGTAATGCCCTACTTGTAAACTTCTATTAAACTACAGCTTCCCCTTATGGAGTACAGTATTAACTAGGCAACCGTAGATGTTTTAAACTCTTGGTAAGTAAAGTGTCTGAGCACCATACTCTTGATAACCCTTATGAAAGATGGACCCTCCAAGTATGTGTAGGATCTCTGTATCAAGCCTATTAGTTCATTAATCTTTTTCTCACAATGATCCACAACCTTCAGTTCACTGTCAACATAAACACCCAAACCTTTCTCACATCTAGTTTCAGTTAGAGAAATGTCTTTGCCATGTTGGAACATGTGATGCAATTCTCTGCTAATAATTCAGGGTGCACTCTCTTGCATTTCCTAACACTGAATCCATTCTTTATGAACACTTGCGGGTGCAATAAATCTGGGACTTGAGGACGGTAGATATGAAGACTCAGACCAAAGTAAACCAGAGGTGTTAAATGAATCCTTTTGATCAGTGTTCATAAGAGAAGATGCAAATAATCTGCCTACTATCAAGGAGAAGTAGTTTGGTACAGCACTGAAGAATATAAAAACACATTTATATAAACTCTAGGTTTACAAAAGTTGATCCCAGTACTGTAAATTCCAGCAGCAAGAAAGTTTTGTAAGAAGCTTTTACAACCACTTCTTCTGGTATCTTGTATGGACAAACAATAGCGCCCTCATGACTATAAATTAGCATTTGTGAATGTTATGTTTAAAACGGGCAGTTGCTGCTGCATGAATAATGTCACAAAATCACCATGTGTACCAGTGGCAAGCAGTGCACTGCAGAGAAGTGCTTATTTTAGAAATGAAATGGGAGATGCTGTTCATTCTTCAACACAAATGCTACAGATGACATTCTTCTCAGAAATAAAAAATCTTACACACTATAAAGCATTATTGGACAAGCTCCATCAGCTTCAAGTTAACTTTACTATCTTTGTCACCTGTCAGTTTCCTACAAAAGGCCGTCATAAGTGAAATTGGCATAAAGAATGAGACTTTCAATAGTAAAAAGGAGGATTTGTTTCCATTACAGCAAAAGTTACACTTTTGAAGATTTCTTTGTTGTCTAGAATATAGAGGCAATGCCTGAGTTACTGATGGGTTACTCTCCTGGACCCGGTCATAAGTAGATCTGTTCACAAGTCAGTACAATATTAATTCCATAAGGTAAGTGAGGCTAAAACACAACCCTGCCCTTACAAAACAACAATAATACTGCATACATAACAAATAATGTAAATTATCTGTAAATACTGTAAATAGAATGATGTTAAACAATATAAATTAGTGTAAAAAATAAAATCTTAATTTCAGATTTTTTTATAAATACTGTACTATATATTAGGATCCCATCCATAAGTAAGGGTGTTCGTAAACAACAGTTTTATATACTGTGTAACAAAATGCAAACAGTACAATAAAATAAAAACCCTTTAATCGTTAACTAATGTTGAGCGATACCAACTGAATCAAAACTTCCATATATTTTATTAAGACATACTGTTTGGGTCACTTCTGTTCGTGTCTAGTCAGGACTCCCAGTAGATTGCCTAAATGCTGCACCTGCCTTGACCACAGTTCTTCAGTCAATAACCCACATATAATGTAATTTTTTTTAATATAATCCATTTAAAGATACTCATATGTTGCAACCTGTAACATCAAAGATCCTGTTTTAAGAGAAATATTACAAATTAATTATGTTTTCTCTCTAATTACCCTAACAACAACAAGCTTATTACTCACCCCAAACTCCACCACCAAGGCGTCGATGATGGAACCAATCACTGTGATGAAGTCGAAAATATTCCAGGGATCCTTGAAAAAATTCTTGGGAGAAACAGACATAAAGTTAGCTTATCATCATAGTTTCCTGCACAGATTGAACTAATACTGTATTATTCTCTTTAATATTTAACTTAGATTGTACTTGTGACTGTACATAGGGTACACTGTGAGAATATATATCCAATGTAATAAAGGACAAACCAGGTTATTTTATTGTTGTCTGAAGAAACTTGACATTACCATATTATAAGAAAAATATATGATTGTCATTGTTCATAAAAAGGAGCAGAGAATACTTGCATGACTGAATACTATAGGCTACATATATAGCTATACAGAAACTGTGTAAGAGGTTGCTATATAAATGCAATATTCTAAAAGCAAGATACTTATATTCATCAACTCAAAATTACTAAAAGAAAGGGATCTATTAAAAGATATAAAAAGTGGATGAAAGAAATGGGAGAAAGTATGCCAGATGGATATAGAATAGCATCCTTCCCAACTTCAGGTAAACCCTAATGTGAGTTCTGTATGTGCCCTAACTGCAGGAGTTTTCACCGAGTCCTAAATACGTTGACACTGAGGTAAGAAAAGTTTTAAGGTTTGGTGGCAAGAGTCGTGGTTTTATACGGACACATAATGGGGCACTATGGGATTGAGGGACCTGGAGGCAGGGACGGGGGAGGGGCAGGGGGTAGAGGGGACTGTGATAGCGTGTGGGTGAAAGCTTGAGAGGAGGGCACTGGGCCTGGGCAGGATTTCTGTTGGTGGGTTAGAGAACAGAAAACAAGAGACAGCACTTTGATAGTGTCTCCATATCTTGTGGTGTAGAGTGAGCACTGGTTACATGGATCAGCTGATTTTGAGCCTCTCAGTGACCATCTTCTATATAGAATATTTTCTTACCAAAGTGTATCCAGTACTGTATTAAGAAAAGACATCTTAAACATACTGTATGTGCAGGTAAGGCTCAAAATCCCACAATCTGGTGACAAGGTACAGCCTTAACCAATAAATTTGTCTGTGGGACCGACCTAAGGATGACAACCAGAGTCTGATGCTTATCTTAAAAACTACCACAAGAATATTCATACAAAATAATTACACTCAAGCACGTGATATAAGTCTGCATGAGATTTGCTTTCTGAAATTAATAATAGTAAATAATTTCAATAATATATATACAGTACAGTATATGACTTATATTAATGGAAATGAGTGTCACATACTGTACTGTACTGCCAAAGAGTTGCAGCAGGAACTCTGTATAAGGTATCTTGAAGACGAGACCCAAAAGGCTGTCATCCTGAGGTGGATCTACAGACAATATTATAATAACCAAAGATCACACTGGAGCAGAAGCCGGTGTGCGTGAGTGAGCAAAAACAATATAAGTCGGTGTAGTAACAAAAAACTGTCTTAAGAATTTAGTACTTTGTTTGTTTGTAAAAACAGAAAGGAAAAGTTGTCTTTTATGACAAAATCATAGATAAAGATGGACAGCAGGCATTGTTTACATACAAGTGTATTTGCAGATCGTTAGTGTGAAAATGGATTTACTTTCCATTCATGATGTATAAGACTTATTATAGGGCTTCAGATTCATGTACATTACAGATCACATGTTTACTTTACCTTCATCAGTCTCACTCTGGTCATGATATTAGTCTTAGCTGTTTACTTATCATTACATATTAAAGCTCATTTTGGTTATAGTAAACATGATATTAACTAAATATTTCATCATCACAATGCTTTAGCTCTTACTGTACATACAAAGTTGGTTGTCATGCTGAGGTCATCATCTCTTAACATCATAATAAAGTTTTCTTGGTCATATGGGTCATAAATTCTCACCTACCTACTTAATAATTCCATGTTAAGTCAACCATAGTCAAACTTTTTAACATGTTAATATACCACATCATATATAGTAAATCCTATAACATGAATTTTACTAACTAAAAATATTGTATTATTATTATTGTTAACTCTCAAAATATATTCTCATTCAGGTATTGCCAATGAATAGGAACAACCCTGACATTAGCTACATGACTGCCGAGCTATCCTTACTTAACTAGACACAGAGATATCTACCAATGTTCCTTCTCACTAAACTTATAACCTAGAATTAACAAAACAAAACTTAAAACTATTACCAGCACTAAACCACTAGATGCTCTTCTTAACTAGCACTATAAAACAGCCTTGGAACTCGCCATGCATGCAATACTTCCATGCCCTTGTTAATACTGTATTGCTTAATAACTGTATGTCATCCAAAACACAGAAAGTAAATCAATAGTCTTAGAAGAAAAATCAGCTAATTAATAATAATAGGTAACTTATTATCTAAATAAGCTTGGATAATATTTTTCTCCTATATGCTCGAGTCTTTCTGAGGTTGGTTTGTGGCCGCTGAATTACTGTACAAATGCCTTACTCAAGTGAAGCTATGCAAACACTGCTAACTATCCTCTCAGAGCTCAAGGACAGTACACAGTGGTTCATCCCTACGCGTGACCCTGACATCGAGGGGCAGAATAAAATTGCATCGTGCTATTTGCTTAACGTTTTACTGAATACACCTCTGGGTAGCATGACAAGGGATATCGCTGGATGATATTAATTTTCATCTATCTCGTTTCAGTAACTGGGGAATTAGATTATTATCCTGGTCAAACTGGAACAACTTTACCAGATAAGCTTTTGAGAGGCAGTTTTTGGGTTTTATCAAGAGATATATTGTCGTTTTTCTGCTATAAGTTAACTAATAGGGAACAGCCACCACAAACACTACAGACCACTGTAATAATCACAAACAGCTCAATGATTTGTGTTTGTCGAGAAAAGTGACGTAGTACTGTACCAGTATAGTTGCTTAAGAGAATAATTATGATAGGCAGTATAATATGGGTCAGTTAATAACACCTTAACTCATCTAAACATTTCTGGTTTGTTTCTCCTCGTGTATCTTAATCCGTCAGCTTACATAATTCAGTCAATGTTTTTCCTGGCCAGAGTGATTTTCATCAAGTGATCTACCACCATTAATTCTGTACAGACATGAATCTACACAACCTGTTGGACCGGTTATTTTTCTCTAGACTCCACCCAGTCACTGCTACCTCATGCTGACTTGATACTCGAACACGGTGATCGTGTTGTATAATTTGTGAGGCAAGTATAGTACTGTATTGCTCCTCTGCCCAGGTAGGAGTGGGAGGCACATGGGAGGTGTACATGAAGGCAATGAATGACATCACTGTTAGTTTTGCACTTGACAAATTTGGGTCAGATTAATGAACTAAAACAAACTCCTTAAGTAAAAATATATGAGTTTTACCACCAACATCTCGTCCTTTGTTGTCCGATGAAATATTTTTCCTTTAAATGAAATTTTAATAATTCTCTGCTCTAAATACTATACATAAGAATGCTTCCTATAGTCTCAGGTTCATCTCAAATACAATATCATACAATTAAAAATTACTAAATGACAAAAGGAAAAAACACTACCCGGTAATGCATTATTTCCTGATGTCTATTGTGAAAATAAAATGATCTAACTTTTCTTCAATTTCTAGACAACACTGCACTGTAATATTGAAAAACTTTAGTGAGCAAAAACTTTAAAAAGGGGGAGGAGGAGGGGGTGAACCTAGTCCCAATGTCAGAGTTGTGAACCACTGTGCAGAACTGATGTATTTTATCTGTAACAGATACAACACTTTTTTACTCTCAACATGACTACAAAATTAACACCAAAAAATATATCGCTATCTGAATTTGCTGCAAGATGATTACAATATTGTATTTGAATAAGAAGTATTTCTTAAAAAAAAATTGGGATTGATCCTGAAATCCTGTTTTACGATCACACATAACAAATGACTGGAGTCACACAATGGTAACTGGCATGACACAGCTCTCTGTTGTTATGTGAAGAACAGAGCAGCAGTTACTACTGATCTAACTATCTTTAAACCATAACTGGGTCCATCATTTCTATTAGGGCTTCTGCAATGATTTGATTTGGTATTTACAAGCACAAGCAGTATGCAGTTTCTTCCAGATTCAAAACAATTTGAATGTGAAGATTGCGAGACTGTGGAGATAGACAAGAGAATATTTCCCTCCCCAGCTTCTAGGTGTAAAGCCTGAGAAGAAAAGAGTTTGACCAGTGTGATGGAGTAGAGGGAAATTAATTTTATTTGGTTAATAAGAAGCTAGTAAGGAGTTGCCTCCTTGAACTTGATAATATTATTGTTATTTAAAACATGTAATACAGTATACCTGTAAATACAGAGATCCAACGACATTATCCAAGTGAAGGACTCCTGGTCCACTGATCATTCTAAAAGAATAATCTTGTTCCTTAGCAGAGTATTTGCTTGAACATTTATGGTTCCAGCAACATGAGAGGCTGTGATATATCAAGATTTTTTTTTTGGACAAACTGAAATATCTTATTAAAGGTCAGTCACAGTTTGAAGGACTTTGATGATCCCTGTTTGTTTTAACAAGTGACTACTGACATATTGTCCATAAAGAACGTTATTGATCAATGTTTCTGATACATTGTCTTCAGAAATATGAGGAATTAATGACCCATTTATGTATATGACTGACTGTGACTATGTTCTCTGCTTTACATCTCCTTCTAGTGAGTGTAACTCTCTTTCTAATTTCAGGCAAGTGTCCAAACAAACAGATTTTTTCTAAAACTTGTCTTAAAAGAGGGAAGGAAACTTGTAGATTTTAAAACCTTACTTTTAGGCTCTGGTTGAGGCATCATATCACTACATAGGAAAGATCTTCCCCAGAATGATGTGAAATATCATTTGCTTTTGAAGAAGTTTCAGACTGACTGACCCAAAAGCTCAAATGAAAGCTCCCAAAATAAGAATGTAAGTTCCATGGTTTGAAGATTATAAGATTCTGAAACTATTCATATGTTAGGACTGTAAAGTCTATTGGTATCTCTTAAATTGCCCTTTTCTTAATGCTGAACCTTGAGGCAATTCGATATTATG